GCAGCAGTCATCTGGAACAATGAATTGGACGAGAAGAAGCTGGAAAAGATGGAGCACCAAGCATTACAAATCGAAGCTCGACATGGCAGCATCCCCGAAACCATTGTTGTCAATCCTCATGCACACATGAGCCGTAACAGCACTATGGGCTCAATCGGCACTTTGCCGCGTGGAAACATCCAAGAATCACAACTTTACAAGCGCATTCTCGGTCAGTCTTTGAAACAGGCTGGCTTTGGCAGTACTGCGCCCAGCGAGCAACACTCTCCTGACAAGACCGCAGCCCCTACTTTGGGTGGTCCGACATATCTTGTACCTCCCAAGTCCAGCGAAGAAGATGGCGATAGGATCCAGCAGCGCAAGCTACGAATCCCTGGTCTCTCCGCGGAGGATAATACTGCTTTGGTACGTCAAGTTGCAGAGATGGCAGCAACTGCAGCGACTGTGGCTGCCCGTGACGCAACCCGCGCTCCTCGCAAGGCATCGCAAATGGCAAGCACCAGCGCTGGCAGTATAAAGCATCACGGTTCCATCTCATCGTCGGCCGGTCACTCAGCCTCAGCAACTAAGAGTGGTGCCGTGCCCGACGATGCTGGAGAAGTTCATGGAGAGGTCCACGAGGCTCCAGCTCACGAGTCGGGAGGCCACGATGCACCCAACTGGAGTCGTACAAAGAGCGCGGTGATTCTGTTGACCGCCACTGTCGCCTATGCAGTGATTGCCGAGATTCTGGTTGACACAGTTGACAGTGTTCTCGAACACATTGACATTGACGAAAAGTTCCTTGGTATCACTCTCTTCGCGCTTGTACCAAACACGACTGAGTTCTTGAACGCCATCTCTTTCGCCATGAATGGAAACATTGCTTTGTCGATGGAGATTGGTTCTGCATACGCACTTCAAGTGATGCTTCTGCAAGTACCGGCCTTGGTCCTCTACTCTGGTGTATGGGCACAATGGATGGAACCCGCGTATGTTGCTGACCATACTTTCAATTTGATCTTCCCTCAATGGGATATGGTGACCATCATCCTCGGCGTCTTCCTGATGGGTTGGGTCGTTGGCGAGGGCAAGAGCAACTACTTCAAGGGTTCTATCTTGATTCTCGCCTACCTGACCATCATCATCGGCTTCTGGTTCTCGAGCTGGAGCAGCGACNNGAGGTATTTCTCTAACCTACAATCTATTTCTTTTCGCATTACGCTAACCTTCGTGCGTGTACAGGGTGGCATCAACCGCTTCATGGGCATCGACCGCTTCGACACACTCGCCCTGCCAACCAACGCCCAGACTTTTCACACGATTGGCAAGTCCACACGAGGACAAGCCTTTGGTTGAACACACTCCTCAACCTTACTGTAATAATGTTTGAAAGACAAATTTGAGCATGGAATCGGCGTTTTGTTGTTACGGTGCTTGAACGACCTCTTTTGGGCACAACTGATATGTCTTTGCTTATACTCAAAGAGAATATAATTAATATATAAAGCTATGAAGATTTTACCTTTGTGCATGTTTGGTACACACACGCATACTACTCGGGTGACAGGACCTGTGATGAACACAAGGTACCAAAGATGCAGAAAGGAAACCCTATCGGCAGCCCAAGTGATATAAACAAAGTTTAGTCTTGAAGTGACAACACCACACCATCGACGAAAGACCGGTTCGCTGGGAGGCCAGATGCCCATCCACTGAAACCAAGTTGGCCCCCAATCCTCCCCTCGCCAACCATTGAAAGATCTCGAATAGATCCATCTGTTAAACTCCCACTCTCCATCTGCAGTTTTTCTTCTGTACCAGGTTTGGCTTTCGATATTGCTCAATACTCTTGTAAGGTCGAGTATCAGATCTCTGCTGCAGAAGTCAGAAGTTTCTAGCCTGGCTTCGAATTTGGTCTTCAGTTTTTCGATGGCGCTGTCGTTTAGCCGTTCAATCTCGACGGGTGCATGGGCTGTGATGACATCTCTTACGGGATAGTCTCTCCAGCGCACATTCACGCTTTTCTGTGTGCGGAAAGAGATGTTGACCTCAAGGCTTGCGTGGCGATCAAGGCCTATAGTTAGAGTCAGTGAGTGGAAGCACTGCATCAATAAATTCTGCCTCCAGATGGACGTCGAAAAATATGAGCTAGCAGGCCAATGATCGTGTATGCAGGCAAAGAATGTAAGTGGTATGCTTTTGTCTTTGGAGTATTGGTGCATCAAAGCTATCCAATCGTACTGGCCTCGTAAGCGTAACTCCAGCCCGCGTAGAAGAACAGGCAGCGCCTCGGTTTGGATCTGGCTCGAGGTTTTGAGGAGCGAGAGTACTGCTTTAGCTGTGGATTTGACGGTACTGCATTGGGTGGGTTTGTCGCAGTATTGACAATGTCCACGCACAAGCTGTTGCGCAACTTGTATCGATTCGACGTCTCCCAAGACGGACTCATAAACCATGATTCGAAGCTCGGGTGGGAGTGTCATCAAGGACGGCGGTGTAGTCATCTTGTGTGCGATCATGACTTTTGTAGAGGATAGTCTCGTAATGATATATTGTGTGAGATGTGAAGGGATCGACCAAAGATGAAGAAAGCAGCAAAATATGGTTGGGAAGAAGTCGAGGTGACTCACACAAGGCAGCAGCTGGGAAGGACAGTCAGCCAGCGAGAAGATTGCGCAAGTTGACTCACCACAGCCATGAGGCAGATGCAATCATCGAACCCATTGTTGCAAAGCAAGACCATATATAGGATATTATTCCTGTGCTCGCTCTTGTCCTATCGGTCGCGGTTGTCGTGATCGTTCCTACCTTCTTCAGAGACTGTACCTGCCTAGCATAAGCAGCAAGAATGGCTTGAGACCAAAACCACAGACGGTCATTCTTATAATGATAGCGTACCCTTGTCAAGTATCTCGAGCTTTCCGTCATCTCTTCGACGATACTGGATACAGAGACCAGACATGAGTAAAACCACCAATGTAAACATGCAAATAGTCCATATAGTGTGAACCACTACGAAGCGTGACATCAAATGGCCTGGCGAAGCTCTCTAAGTAGTGTTTTCAAGAGAGCCTATCATTTGTTTGATCCTCTCTTATCCGCATCGGAGAAACCTCCGCGTCGGACATTCCGATTTTTCAAGTCCTTCGTGAAAGTAGACGAGAATTCAGGGTAACCTGTCTCGCTGTCATGTGCTTTAAGGATGCAATTTGGAATGCGTGGTCGAAAACATCTGCCGTTCACTCGTATGGACCAGATTCTGAAATCGGTCCGCAAGTAGCGGTTTATTGGCCGCTTAGAAGGAAAGAGCAGGAAGCAAGGCCCGTGACAGTTTCTCTCCAACAGATGGGATGAGTGGATGTATGCTCAGACAACAAAGCAAATGCCCAGAGAAGCCTGGAGTACTAGCAAGAAGCAAGCAGAACGAGTCAACCACAAAGATCAGCGTCCTACTTCCCACGCCGCGAGCTGAAGACCGCAACTTCCCCCAAAGACCTTTTGATTAAGATCATTGCTCCACGAGTCAAGGGCACCAAAGTATAGACAGACCTAGAAGTCACGTCCTTGGGGGCATCGGAGTCCCATCCGCACTGGTCCGCTTATCGGCAGAAAGGGCGATCCACATTCAACAGGACCATTGAACAGGCAAAACCCAGCGTCATTTCAACGACTAAACCAATCTGGACTCTTCTGATGGTTGTGGTTGATGGAGTGGCACTCCGCGGGTACTGGCCGAGACGACCTCAAAAGGCAGAAATGCCACCAATGCAACGACGTTGAAAGCCACGAGAAGAGCCCTCTTTGCCGAGACCCTATGGCTTTTCGCTTCTCGCGTGCCATCGGCAATAGATAATTTAAACAAAAACGGCGAAAAGAGGTTATTCCGTTTCTAGAATTGTTTGCTTGCAAGTGCTTTGCTCATCAATTCACGGAGTGCTTGCTACTGCCGGAAGAAGCTCTCCCCAGAGTGGATGCATGCTCGATCGAGCAAAAGAGATAAATTGTCGATAAATGAAAGTCTGCTTCGGCCCGCTCCAGAATCAGGGGCGGGTGTGCGTGTTGCGCAGGTGCAGCCGCAAGGGAAAGCTTTGATATACGAGTGCTGGAAGCTAAAAGCACCAGAAAAGTGAGCCGCAGAGGTAGATCAATGTGATTGTGACATGTTGATAGCAGAGTCAGAAACAACGAAGTCTGGAAGTAAAGTTGAAGTTTAACTTTCAGCAAAGCACGGGGTCAAATGTCGATCCGCATATTATTGAGGATTCAGGAAAGGCTGGCCTCAGAAGAGCCAAGCAGGAGAAACAGGAATTCAAAATGTTGCTCTCTCCAAAAGGAGAAAAGCAGAAAGCACAGTCACCCACCTTGACATGCAGACTATCGAGTTTATCTTGTAGCTGTGCCAAAGTTTCTCGAGATTTTGAGCAACGATCACTTTGTGGTATGGCAGAAACAATGATCTACTCAGTCTCCATTGTTCAACGTCTCTGACTTACTTGCAGAAAGCAAGGCGAGAAATAAATTGCGAACTTGATCCAATAGGCAGACCAGAAGCCAAAACAGTCAAAGAGTGTTACCATGCAAGGGACCAGTTTTGGGGGGTGATCGGAGCCGGGATGGTCAATGGCGTCTGAAGCTAGAAAAGGCAGTTGTCGAGTCATGGGTGGTCGCAAGTGCTGTTTCAGCAGACGGACCTAAAATTCACAACAACCAGAAGGAGCAAAGCACCACTGGAATGGCAAGTGGAGATCAGTGGAGTGAGAATCGTTGGCTCGAGCCTCACGAGTCACAAGAAAAGCATGGCAAAAGAGGAGAAAGGCACAGACGCGGGAGTCTGGTTGTTGAGGTTCCACGACAGGATATAATACTGCATCTGCTCTTGCTCTTGTGTGAGCATTTCATCCAATTCAAAACTTCCAGATTTCACTCTTTTGCAACAGAACCAACTTTGACACACTCTCTTTCTTCAATTCCTTCCTTCTAAACTCAACAACCAACACACAAACACCGCCATCATGCAGCTCCGTGTCTACACTTCCCTCGCCATCTTCGCCGCCACTGCCATGGCCGCTTCGGCCTCTACCTCTGCTGCTGCCGCCTCTTCGACTGCCGCCAGCCTTACTGATGGTGTCCCTCAGTGTGGTGTATGTTCCTGCTTTCGCTCTGAATGAGATGTGGCCAATAGACTGACATCTTCCGACAGNCTCCAATGCATTACTGACGCCGTAACCTCATCCGGCTGCTCTGCCGACGACTACGTGTGCCTCTGCACAACCGGCTCCAAGGCCTTCCAGGCTGCCGGAACCCAGTGTCTTCTCCAGAAGTCCGACTGCTCGGCCGCGGACCTCCAGACCATTACGACCATTGCTAAGAATCGCTGCGCCGCTCTTCTCTCCAGCTCCGGCAACTCTGCTGGCGCTGCCGTCTCTGGTTCTGCTACCAGCGCTGCCTCGTCCGTTGCTAGCTCTGCCTCCAAGGCTGCTGCCTCGGCCACACACACTGGTGGTGCTGTCCAGGTTGGTGCCAGCATCATGGCTGTTGGTGCCGGTGCTCTTGCCTTCATTCTGTAAGCAGAGATGTGCAAAAGGACTAGGATGTGATAGTGTGGAGTGGGAAAACAGCACACGCGCTGTTCAGAGGAGAGTTTGTACGGGATAGCCTCTTTTAACGATACCCAAGTGGTTGCAGCATCATTTTTATATCTTTCTAAAGCAGGGGGCACTTTTTGCATTTTAGGGGAATATTAACTTCTTTTTTCTTTCGTTTCAAGAGACTGTGTTTATTTGACGAGAGAAGTCCACTTTGTGACCCATGCTGTGAATTCGTCGTCTTTGTCGTTCCAGTCTGTCTTCAGGAAGTCNNGAGCTGCTGAGCATGCATTATCGATGCATGTGGAGAGGATTGTATCGACTTGATCAGCATCGAGCTCGTAGAAGGCGTTTGCGAGATCGTCAACAGATTCGGGCAGTTCCTTGAGTAGATGCATGAGTTTGTCCAGAGTCAGAATGTTGACCTTCTTGGAAGCAACGTCTGGCGTGAAAGTTTTGAGTCTGCGTTTGGTGATGGCGGCGTAGAGGAATTGGATCTTCTTGAGTTTGTCGGCAGCAGTTTGCAGGCGTTCCTTTAGGTCTAGACGGTCTTTTGGGAGTTTGTTGGCAGCGGAAAACATGTCGTCGAATTCGTCTTGATCGTCTCTTTCGTGTTGGTCGTCGCTTGTGGAGCCTGCATCGTCCTCGTCATCTTCATCCTCATCGTCGTCGTCTCCATCGCCCTCTTCCCACTCTTTGAGTTCTTCGATGGCATCGTTGATGGTGTCTCGTAGTTCCTGAGCTTTCAGAACAGCCAGACCAGCAATTCCAGTCTTCTCCAGCAGAATCAGAGCGTCACAGGCTTCCCACAGCACACCAGTAGAAGCAAGAGTGTTCTTAGAGTGGTTGGACAAGTTCTCTTCCCTAGCGACATCGAGGACTTCTTCTAGGAAAGAGACCATCTCACGCATGACTGTGCGGACTTTGGCGACAACCTGGTGGTGTAGAAAGACGCCCCAGATATCAGGACGGCAGAGTTCGACGGCGGACATCATGGCGGGAAGACAGGTTTGGGCAGCATCGCGAAGGACTGAGGTAACAGCGGTAGGAGTGAAGGGCTTGTTGATCAAGAGCAGAGCGAGCTTTGTGGTGTGAGCCTTGAGCAAAGTGGCACTGTCGCGAAGCACATGGAGCGGGTTTGGAGGGTTGGGTGGAAGTTGACTTGACGGGTCGATGGAAGCGTTCGGGGCTAGTGTGGCGAGGTATTGCGCGACCAGAGCACGCTGCGTCTGAGCAAGATCTATGAGTGTTTGCGAGGCGGCCATGGCGGGATTGTGTGTTGAGGAATGAGGAATGCGACAAGGTTTAACAATTTCTTGAACAAAGTTGCCAAGTTCGAAAGCTTCGGGAGTGTTTGCGGTCACCGCCCGCCGCCCGTCTCGTCACCGATAGCACAAACATGCATGAAGACTCTCTCTAAATGTCGCCTACCCTGGTCGTCGACGTCGGCGCATGGTCTCTCAAAGCTGGATACGCCTCATCCGATAGCAATGGCGCCTGTCACGTTGCTCCCAACTGCATCGCCAAATCTCGCGACAACAAGACTTATGTTGGTTCGCAACTGTCGCAATGCACCGACTATGGTGACATGACCTTTCGTCGTCCCGTCCAGAAGGGTTACATAGTCAACTGGCCTGCTGAAGTCGCCGTGCTGGACAATGAACTGCAACAACTTCAATGCGATACTTCTGATACCAATCTGATCATCACCGAACAACCCAATGCTCCGTTACAGCTCACTCAGAATCTGGACCAGATGGTCTTTGAGCACTTCGACTTTGCTGCCGTCTATCGAACCATTGGTTCCTCGTTGAACGCCTACAACGACACTCGCGCCTTGTTCGGCGACCCTCCTGCGAATCCATCAGCCATCCAACCAGCCGATGCTCTTCTCGTAGTCGACAGCGGTCATAGTCACACGACAGTCACCCCATTACTAGCTGGCCGGCCCATACACCCTGCAGTACGCCGTCTAGACGTCGGAGGCAAGCACCTAAACAACTACCTTGCCGAACTCATTTCCCTGCGCCATTTCTCTCTTATGGATGAACCCCACATCGTTTCTCAGATCAAAGAAGACGCCTGCTACCTTTCCACAAACTTCACTCAAGAGCTGGAAGCCGCGAGAAACAAGGATCCTAGTATTGTCGTCGACTATGTCCTGCCAGACTACGAACGCTACCATCGTGGTTTCATTCGCCCGCACGATGCCTCTCACAAAGCCAAGATGGAACGTTTGGGAGTAAGACAGCCAGATGATCCCATGACTGCCCGAGAAGAACTCTTTCCTCTAGCAAACGAACGTTTCGTCGTTCCTGAAATGCTATTCACGCCTTCAGATATCGCTATGCCACAGTCTGGCATTGCAGAAACTATACTCCAAAGTCTACAGTGTTTGCCAGAATTGCTATGGCAACCTATGCTCGCAAACATCCTACTAGTCGGTGGCAACACGTTAATTCCTGGCTTTGTGGAAAGAGTAGAGACGGGAGTAACCATGTTGGCTCCTGAAGATATGCTTGTCCGTGTACGGAGAGCTAAAGAGTATGTTTCTATTGCCTTCACAGCCCTGCTTTCCTTCTCTCCCTCTTTATCCTGTCTTGTATCAACAAGGCAAAATACTAACTCAAGTTCACAGNNTCCCATAACGTCAACCTGGCAAGGAGGCTGCCGTATGGCCAACAACCAAGACCTCTTCAAAAACGTCCTGATCACCAGACAAGAGTACCAAGAACACGGTCCCAACTGGGTGACCAGACAATTTGCAACNAAAAGACCAACGACTGCCAAAGAATAGAAATCTTTGTAACCAACTCTTGGTCAATAAAAACGAATTCAAGAAATAGCATGACCTTTTTCGCTTGCAGAACTGTATATTATGGCTTTTTTGATGGCAGAATTATGTAAAACAGGGAACCAAGAAAACTACCTACATGATGAGCCTGGGCATTATTCTGTATTCTTATGACCTTTTCATCCCATCTCTTGATAAGCATTCAGGATTTTGCCATGTATACAATCTTTTCTACGGACCGAACTTACTAATCATGTGGAAACGACTAGGAAGAAACATCAAACGTAATTGGATTGTACTGTAACCACTGGATCCAAACATTCGTCAAGAAAATGTTGCAATAGCTCACGACGGGCAAGAAAAGCACAAAGACATGCACTATAAAACATGACAGTGAAAAATGAATGTGTGTAATTTCGAAAGAGCGAAAGCCTAGCTCTCCTTCCCTGAACGCAAAAGAAAGAAGAATATATAACCATGAAACGCTTAAACCCTCATTGTCCCGAATGATAAAACCACCAAGCGCCTTCGCCAATGCCACGAACAAAATAAATGCTGAGAATGAAGAGAAAAGACATAGGACAAGCAACAACAAGAGAAATGAGTGTACAACCGACCCAGGGAGATGAATATACATATAGACATTCTGTTCCCACAAAAACTCCTTCCAATCAACAAGGAGTATACGAAAGAGAGACCAGCGGAAGGTCTTTGATGAAGGAAGAAATGAAGGCGTCGTTAGGCACGACCAAACCAAGGTGATCTCTGTCCCTTCTTGCGACCAGAGATGAACAGTCCCAACCACTGACGCTCAGTAGTACGGTCGGGAGAATCATAACGCTTCTAGCGTCCGAACTGGGCAAACAGCTCTCCCATGTCCGAGTCACCAAACGAAGTCTCGATTCTAGTGAGCTCCGGCAGCGTCGGTGGGGGCGAGAAGGCTTCTCTCGTAGGAGGAGAGTATGGATTGCGGTGTTGAGACGATGATCGACTGACTCTGCTCTGCGAACTGAAAGTCCTGTGGGAAGCAGGTCTCTGGACTTGCGAAGGTTGAGAGTACAGCGAGGATTGTGTCTCGGTCTTGGACATGGGTGACAATGGCGGTAGAACTGGAGGCTGCTGTGTGGTTTGTGTGGTGTAGACGCTGGCCGATCTTTCGCTCGAAGAGTCGCTCTTGATGGGTTGTGTGTGCTCGGTGGTGGGATGGACGACCTCAGGCTCGTCTAGCATCATGGCATCAGGGCCCTGGGGCGGATCGTAATCGTCTACGACGGCAGAGCCGTTATTGTGGGAGTTGAATGTGAAAAGACCACTCTTTCTGCGGAACCAAGAGCTGCTCTTTCTCTTTCTTAGAGGAGGCTGAAGAGTGTCTTGGCCAGGCTTAACGACGACATAATCCTCTTCAGCAGCACGCTTGACTCCTCTAGAGCTGGTTGTGCTGTCGGAGGCCGGACGATCGGACGAGGCGGTTTGTGGAGGGTTTTGTGAAGAAGGGGTCGAGACGAGAGATGTGCGTGAGTTGCTGAAGCTGCTCTTCAGGTTCGACAAGGAGAAAAGCTTCTGCATGCTGATGGATCTGCGACGGCCATTGTTGTTGGGGCCCTTGGGTACAGGCAACTGGGAGCCGAAACTGTCGTGGCGCTGGTTGTCGTGGTGGGCCATGGCGTCTATGTTTGCGAGATCGAGCTTGGACGACGTGTCGTGGTTGTTCAACTGGTATGCCAATGGTAGATGATGCAATTGAGAGGAGCTGCCGGCAAAAGAATTGGTGTCTTGTCGGTGCAAGGAGTCAGTCGAGGGTGAGGCAGACTTTGACAGGTCGGGCGTGGAGAAATTGCTCGGATGCTTCCTCGGGAACGACGNAGTTGGAGTTGCTAGGCGACACAAACGGCAGCGGCGATGTACTCGTCGAGACGTTCCTGCTGTGCTTGACAGAATAGTTGCTGTGCTGTTCGTNNTGCTGTTGCTGCTAGACCCCGCAAACAATTCGACTGGTGTTGGTGGATGCGAAGACAGTGGGCTCGGTCTGGACGGCAAGACAGTAGCTTGTTGACCTCGCCCAGAAGTCGCAATAATGCCCAACGATGGTACTCTCTGCCTGTGCTGAGAAAGCTGCGACATGGTCAAACCCCTTGACTTTCCAATGACTCTGACTTCTGAGAAGTGTCGCCGTGCGCTACGAGTACCTGTCTTATCCGACTCGCTACTGTGTTGCTGAGAGCGTGGGGTTCACACATATATTAATCCTTGCCGACGGCTTGTTAAAAGTGGCCCCTTTCGTGTTTTGGCTTCGCCAGATCCTTCTGTACCCTACGCCTGAAAACTATCCACCACGTTTCACTCCTGGCTCAGGGAGCACATGGACTGACAAGAACGACAACAACAACGATCGCCATACAACAAGTCATGCAAGACTAAAAGGTCCCTTTGACGCAAAGACCATCATCGCCCTAGTCTCGCCCAAGTACCCCTGCGTGCCCTGCTTCCCTGATTTACCGTTTCACGACATGCATACAAGCAAACAAGTACCTTCTCCACATGTCTGTGCACCGTTTCAGGCCCGTGTGAAACTGACATTTACCCGTCTACAAACACCCACAACTCTATCCGTGTCATTGATCAAATTGCATATGTTTGGGAGCCAAACTACAAAAACTGATAAGAATGCCCTCTGCCTGACGCCTTGCCCTATACAAGCCTAGTCATCTTTCCCCAAACCACAACCAACCATGACATGACTCTGGCGGGTTTTCAGTCTGATCTTGCTGTCACCGCCCATTTGCATATTTCGAAAACTTGACGAGGAAAGAAACTCTGCAATAGCATTTGCTTTTTGACGTCCTTTTGCCGTATGCATATCCATCCAGCGCCTGATCAATGCTGTGTACGAAAGTCATACAGCCCGTCTAGTTGGCCGATGTTCCTGATGTGTGCAAGACATTGACATCGCCTGCGTGCTTTGTCTCGCTTTGCTGCATCTTTGACGTCGACTCTCCATTCACTTGCACAGCATCGCCATGTTTCGCCGTCTCTCTCTCATCTTCATCCAACGGTGAAAGCCCAGAAGAACCGTCGCCTTTGGAATTTGATGCAACTGAAGTTTTACGCTCTTGTTCTGGCTTTTGCTCAAAGAACTCGACGTGATCTGCATCTCGTTCCTTATCATCATTGCGGATCATCTCACTCAAGCTGTTGAAGTTGAACATGGATTCCGTGTTCACATCATTGCTAGGTGTGCCGGATTGTGTATCAGGTGTACCGGTGCCATCGTCTAGTACTGTTGCACTGGCATTGGGAGATGTTTGGTGACTCATCATCCGTTGTTGATAGCTTCCGGGTGCAGAGTCTAACATCGAAGATGCTGCTGACGAAGCGTTCGAGATATGGCGAAGGTGAGAGCGATTCTGAAGTGCTTCTGGGAACGAGATGGGCTGCGTTGTTTGAGGTAGGTTGGCTCTCGATTCCTCGAGATGTCTCTGAGAATCAGCTGTCTGCTCAGCAACCTCTGTGTTTAGGGTTGATGTGGGTTCGCTGAGTGGGTTAAAGCCATAGGCGGTGGTAGCAGGTGCTTTGCCTTTTCCAATAACTGGAGGCGCGGCTGTTGGCGGCGATGAAGCTGTTGAGAGAGCAGTCTGCGGTCGCGGAATGTTACTCGTGGACCGAGTCATATCAGACCAGGTGGCTGTACTGCCATTCATACTGGCACTGTAAAGACTTCCGCTCTTCTTTGCGGCCTTCTCGGCTTTCTTCGCCTCCTTGGCAGCTTCCTTTTCTCGTTTCTTTGCTTCCTTCCTCACTTCCTTCTCCTCCTTCCTCTTACGGCCCTCTTCTGAAGCCAGTGATAGTCGAATCGCCTCCATCATCATCAAATCTTCCAGATCGTGGGCACGACTTCTTCTACCTGACGGCCGAGGCTCTGTGCTTGATCCCTGACCTTCTATGTGGGCGATCAATTCAGACAGACTGCCTACCTGGCCATTGTCAGCTCTTGGAGTACCTGATCCACTTGCACTAGCAGAAGTATCTGCCAGAAGCGTACGACGACGGCGACCGAGACCACCGAATGAGCGCGAGTCTGACGGCGGTTGATTGCCGAGCATGTACGCAGCGTTATGCAAAGCAGTGGCAGCAGCGGATCGTCGCAGAGCATGTGCTCTAGCATCAGCTAGCTTCTTTGCCCAGTCTGGTCTTACTCGATCGGTGGTAATAACAGTGGGGGCGGATGCTGATAGAGAGGTCGTACGTCTTCTGCCAGACGGGGCGGCCAGAGAGAGGGATGAGGCATCTGGTGATGGGGCACTGGTCGGAGCTGGGCTGCTCACTGGGCCTGAGTATACTAGGCCTCTACGGAAAGATGGAGGTTGGTAGCTGACACCGAATTCAGGTGTCACACAGAAAGGACATGCGGCGGGCTCTGAGACCAGTAATCCTTCTTCGTCAGTCGTAGGATTTCCTTCGTCATCGTGGTGCTCCGGGGGGTGCGGGTCAGGACGTTTGATCTGTACGAAGCATTCGGAGCAGATGGGCTGATCGCAGCAGCGGGTCTTGTTGAGGTACGGAGGGTAATACATGAAACAGATGGGACACTCTGAAGCATCTTTGTACAGAACAGCCTCAAGAGGAGAGCCGTTAACTCGTGGGTCTCGTGGCAAGCGGATCTCTTGAGGGGCGATTGAAGTAGACGAAGCATTGTTGTTCTTGTTCGAGGTGCCCAGAGATGCGAGCGTCTTTGCGCGATCGCGGAAGAGGCTTCGAGATCCCGAGGCTGAAGGGAGAGATGAACCACCTGGGCGAGGGAAAGTAGAGCTTTGAGGAGAGATGTGATCGGATTGATACGACTGGGAGCGAGACGAGATAGGGATGGTGAGAGAGTCTACATCGCTGCCGGTGGTTGTTTCAGGGTCAGGGAGCGGAGGGTCATCTGCGGCGGGGAGAGGTAGTCCTCGTGCTACAGCTACGAGCTGGTTCTCGGTCCACGAGTCCGAATGGTCGTTGAGACCCTTCCAGAATGGCGCCAGACGACGTTCGATNNCTGAGTTGTGTCAGTGAGGTAGAAGCGACATGGACGATAGGAAACATACCATGAGCTGGCGCACGACCGTCTTGTTGAAGTCCTCAGGGCCAACATATGTGCCCAACGTGACGAGATAGCCACCATCGACACCTTCCTCCTTCATACTCCGTTCACGTTCATTGTCTCGAGCTACACGTTCCTTTTCACGCTTGCGTGCTTCTCTTCTTGCTTGGTCTCGCGNACGGGGCTCCTCAGTGCGTGATTGATCTCCTCTACTGCTGGATCCTAGATGAAGGAAGGACAGGTTCTGTCTGCTGCCACGATCACTGCGCACATTGTACATGGAGTTCTCGTTGGAGCCAGTGTTAGAGGTCCCATTGTTGGTAGTTCCAGAGCGCGTTCGTGAGGATGTCGTTCGTGACTCCCTGGTGGAGCTGGGTGTATTCCCCATGGCGGAGCGATCGAATGTCTCTCAGGCTCGTTGCGGGGAAGCACTTGAGAGACGGCGCATTCCACGCTCAAGATCCGACTATGTCTTGGCCAGTCCACTCATACGACGAACAAAGAATGGATGTTGAGTGGACGAAGAGGTGGGCACGTGGGGTGGAAAGCCGATGGAGATGGAGGTGTTTCAATAGCTGAGTAGGCGAAAGAGGATCAAGGTAGATATTGTTGGAGTAACGGCCGACACGTCCGCCCTTGGCCTCAGTAAATAGCCGTTCGCGAAGCCGCCGACGAAGTGCAATATGCCGTGAGAAACGACCACGGATTCAGGCTGTAGATATTAAGAACAACGACAGTGAGCTGAGAAACCTATTTTCACCAGGTCAAGGTTTCTTCCTGGAACCTGATGTCGCCGACTTGTCTCTGATCATTACGCCGATGACGACGTCCGCTTTGTGCCCCGGAAGCCAATCAATTCGATCTCGACCGAGGAAGCTGCCCCAAACCCCCAAAATCTTCCCCAAATCCCTCAACCCAACCATCACTGTTGACGCTTTCACTTTTCAACATTCGGCCCATCACTTGTCCGGTGCTCAGCTCTCACGTAATTGTTATGTTCTTATGTATCGATACACCCTCAGGTACCTAAGGACACTTGAATTAGCTATCCTCAATGCTTCTGCTTCGGCAAATCTCCATTCAACATTTGTTTGCTGTAACAATTCTGGCCTGAGAGTTTCGAATCCCAATACTATGAACTTGCTCGGGAATGGCGGTCTATCTAGGAGGCCTCACGTCTGGACTAGACATACTCATCTCCTTTCATCCATCCAAGTTGNNCCTGCATCTTAGTCAGCACTTACTCGTTCTTATCTCCAATCCATATTTCTACTCACTTCCACATATGCAGCTTATCCCAATCCTTAGTAAAGCTCTTGACTTTGCCATCCTCAACCTCAAAGATGGCTGCCGCCGACCACTTGGCTTTATTCCCAGTCTTTTCGATTCCATTGTGAGGCTCTCCGCAATGACTTCCCTCAGCCGTGTATCTCAAAAGCACATGTCCATCTTTGGCAAACACCTGATCGTAGCAAACAATGTGTAAGTCTGCGATACTGGCCATAACATGTGAATGACTCTCTGCATAATCTTGTGGTGACTTGACGCCAGGGAAAGTTGTGGGGGCCCAGAACCAGGCATCATCTGCACAGAGGTGCTCGACAGACTTGCGACCTTTGTTTTCTGAAGGTGAGTATGCGATTCGCATGTATTCTTTGGCAATTGAAACATTCTTTTCTTCGTCGGGAGACTGCTTCGTTATCATGCGAGCAGGTGGCATTTTGTGTTCAGATCCGCTGGAAGACATCGTGCTGCGATGCTCAAGGTCCGATTGTGTAATAGTCGAGGTTGAAGCTGTTGATTCTAGGGCAGAAGCACCTGGTGCAATAACTAGTGATACCGTATGATGCTCTGCTGCACGGTGATGCATATCATGACATCAAGGTATCGTTCTCCGCACCGAGGCGGGCGCTACATGATCTGCAGTCTTGACACCCTGTTTGGACTTTTCGAAGAGTTGATGAATGTTTGATGAGAGGAGGACAATGGTGGTATTTTCATGGACGTGTCCATATCATATGCGATGAAAATGCAACAAAAACAGAGAGGGATATCGAAAAGACTTATTAACCAACCCATCCGTAAAACTCCATGAATTGAGGAAAGCCAGCAACTCTTTTGCGAAATCATCTGAGTGCAATGCTGATCTCCTCAGGAAGGTCTTGCTCGGCCTGCGGACTCTGCGCAGGAGTCAACCAAGGGGCATCCTCAGCTTGAGGCGCTGACAGATTTTTGACCGCTCTCTTGTTGACATAGTCCTTGCCAGGGCTGTCCCAAGCGAAATCCAGATATTCTGCCAAATGCTCCTGGATACCATCGGCCATGATCTGGACACCATGCTTGCGGTTCAGACTCCACTCGTGATCTCTCTTCCAGCGACCAGCGAGCTTGACAGTCTCTTCACCACCCTCAAGACCATCGAGAATACTACGCCAGACTGACATTGTCTTCTCCAGCTCGCTAGCGTTACTGACACCCATAACGCTGACACCGAGCTTCTGGCCTCCAACCTGCTCGTTTGACTCGCGAGTCCATGGAACACCAGAGGCAGGATCACCTCGAGAGCCAACGCTTGCACCTGCAGTCAACCATGATTCGAGAGCGAAGCGAATAGCAATGACCTCGAGGCGCTCTCCGTGGCGGTCGCAGAAGTCGCTCGCACGACGGATGGCTGCTCTAACGCCGGGACCAGCAGGATGCCAATCGCCTTGGCCGGCCACAGGAGGACCTGCGCGACGCAAAAGACCCATGCCAAGTGGTGATGCGTTTGGTACGACGTCAACGCCAGCGGCACGCAGACGTGCAATGCCATTTGTTGCGAGTGTAGTGTTTTGCAGTGTGTAATTTGCGTAGGACATGACAGCATCGAGAGGCTCGCCAGTCTCGCGAAGAACGCGCTCAGCGAGCGAGCAAAGCAGAGGAACGGGGTATCCAGAGATACCAACATAGCGCAGTGTGCCTTCCTCGTCGCGAATGCGTCGCAACTCTTNTATAGCTCCCATGACTTCATCCTCACTGACGAATTCCACGTCGTGACAGTAAACAATGTCGAGGTAGTCGGTGCGAAGTCTCTGCAGACTGCGAGCGACACTCTGACGAACCCACTCGGNGGAATAATCGAACTCATCTCCAGCAATACGGCCGCACTTGGTGATGTAGAAGAGGTCGGAACGGGGCACGTGTGCGCGTACAAACTCTGTATCGAGGGCGGCTCCTATAAGCTCTTCACTAGGTCCATAGTAAGGGCTGGTATCAAAAGCTCTGATACCAAATTCGAGTGCCTCTTGAACCAAGCCAACTGTGTCTAGCTTGTTCACGTCGTTGTATTGTGAGTTGAAGACGGCACAACCAAAGACGAGAGGTGGCAGAATTGAAGATAGTTGCTGGGCGGGCTTGCCCTTGATCATTGCTGAGGCCATATGGTGATAGTTATTTGAGCGTATGTACGAGAAAGCGAGGCGGGCGCCTGTGGCAGCTGCGGAGTCTTGGTCCGGTGAGTTGGACACTGGTTGCACAGGATGCGCAAAGATTCGAGGTATGCAAGAGACAAAGAGTGAGTCGTGAGAGGAACTTGAGAGGGAGAGGAAGGCCAACAACAANNGACTAATAGAAAACAGTTGAGCGAGAAAGTGTCCTAGCTTCCAGATCCATGATATCTACACTGGAATTTTGGGCGCTCGGAGCCGGAGCAATTGAGCAAACTCACGATCTTGCAGNNGTGCTCGTGCACAAGACACGAAGGCGCGATCGCGCCGCGAGATAACCTTGATCCAATCATTTGGCCATGTTTGTGCTCGATTCGTTCTAGGCTGTGTCTAGACTTTATCACGTCAGATCTTGATCTCTACGCAACTTGCCCTTGCTGCCTTTCAAACCGGAAACGGCTGGCAAACCGTCCGTGAATCGATCGGCAAATCAGGGACCGACCTCCTGCAGGGATAGCCTGATCAAATAGATAAGATAAAGAGAATCTCTCTACCAATTTGACTGGCACAGCGAGATACTGTAAAATTCTCCAGATCTAAAACGTTAGTGAAAGGCTGTGATGCATATAGATCCTCAAAGCTAGCGATGGTCATCCGTAATAGCGACTTTGGAGTGAAGAGGCAGAGTGACAAAACTCCGTACCTGCCTGGCCGGAGTCCTTTGAGCGGCACAAGCCGTGGCTGCCTGCAGGGCTGATTCTAACAACATCCATCCCTAACAGAGGCGACAGCGACCTCTATCCTTNNCCTCCCTCTGTGCGCAACATCATTTGCGCATCACCATATCAAGACTCACTCACCAAGCGGCTTGCGCATTACACAGCAGTCGACCTTCATCATGGCTGAGCAAAGCATGTATCACGAGATGTATCGCAATGCGAGGTAATCCAGTAGCGAACTCATCACCATCCAACATTGTGCTGAGAAGGACGTGTATAGCATCGGCGGCACACTTGCAGACACCTTGGACGATCTAATTAGTAGTCGTCGTATCGAGCCCCAGCTCGCCATCAAGATCATGACCAACTTCGACAAGGCCATCGCGCAGGTTCTTGGTGAAAAGGTCAAGGCCAGAATGAGTTTCAAGGTAGGAGACCACTTCCCAACAAGTCCAAGATTAGGCGCATTTCCTGCTATGTTCTTCTCTCGACCCTCAGTGAACCGGGCTGCCCGGAATCTCTGTCAGCATCATGCGACCAGTTAGCTGCGTTCTTCACCACTTTCCCAAGCTGATCAGATTGTANNGGGTCACCTCGACACATACCGTTTCTGCGATGATGTGTGGACCTTCATACTTAAGGACGTTAAGGTCAAGCTGGACAACTCACAGCAGATCGAGGTCGAGAAAGTCAGAATCGTCAGCTTGCTGAACGCCAATTCTGCCCACAACAGCGGAAAGAAGTAGCACCTCAACACACGTTACGGGATACCCGAGCAGCTTTGAGTCACGGAGGCACGATGGAATTGATTTGGGGTCATGGCGTACAGGCGAATCTTGAAGGGTACGAAGGCATTATAACGAATACCCAGCACGGAGAGTGCACACAGAGAAGCACAGAGCGAAAGACAAATTAATAGGCGCTCACAGCGCAAAGCATGATATCAAGATTATCGCTCCTGTGTTCCCCTAGTTCTTTTCACATGTCAACCACGTATACTCGTAGATGTGCTGATGCCAAAGTCATGCCGAGGGTTCTCTCACCGCCTTGTGTTTGCTTGGCGGGCCAGAGGTGAATGCGGAGAGCGGCAAAAAGTCTCCGCCATACAGTTCGGCTGTAAGAAGTATTCGCGAATTTTGTCGCTTTTGCGCCTCACCAACATTCTCGCTGTTCACCCCAAAACACCTCGATTTATTGTCATACACCCGCAGCCACGCCGTGAAAATCATACACATAATCAGATACGCCTTTCGCCGATTTTCGAACCAACATCATGCCTGCACCAACCGCTCTCCAGAGAGCTGCTCCCGAGGATATCGCTCAAAACTTGCACGAAACCCCCGTCGTTGCCAACAATGAGGACGACGAAATGCTCATCAGCACCACCGATGCTCCTGCCGTTCAGGATGCCGCTCAGCCCTCAGAAGACACAGCCATGACCGTTGACTCGCAACCACTCTTCGCTGCCGAGAAGGCTACCAATGCCCACGTTCGCTCCGAGTCCCGCAAGGTCGCTGTGCCGCCTCACCGCTGGACCCCTTTAAAGAACGCCTGGCCCAAGGTCTACCCTCCCTTGGTCGAACACCTCAAGTTGCAATGCAGAGTCAACACCAAGAACAAGAATGTCGAGCTCCGCACAAGCAGATTCACCGACGACACTGGAGCTTTGCAGAAGGGCGCAGATTTCATTCACGCCTTCTGCTTGGGTTTCGACTTGGACGACGCTATTGCATTGCTGCGTTTGGATGATCTGTACATTGAGACTTTCGAGATCAAGGATGTCAAGACACTTCAAGGCGAACATCTCGGCAGAGCTATTGGCAGTAAGTGACGTTCAACACAGCAGTCTGCCAGAATTGTGCTGATAGTGTTTAGGNNAATTGCTGGAAAGGACGGAAAGACCAAGCACGCCATCGAGAACGCAAGCAAGACTCGTGTCGTGCTCGCAGACTCAAAAATTCACATTCTAGGTGGTAAGTTGTATCGGAAGATCTCGCTATTGCAAAATACTTACGATTTTCTCNNAGGCTTCAAGAACATTCACATGGCTCGCACCGCTATTGTTTCGCTCATTCTGGGTAGCCCGCCAGCCAAGGTCTACGGCAACCTCAGAACTGTTGCCTCAAGAATGAAGGAGCGCTTCTAAACGCAGCAATTTATCATGGTTCATAAAAGAGAAGACAAGCATGCAGTCAGCGGTTGGACAAATGCTGCGGGAATGACGATCCTTTCCCATTTAGCAGTCAAGGCGAGCAATGGCGTTGGTGGATGGGATGTACCTTTTCGACAAAAAAAATGGGTAAAGGGCATATGGGAAGGCGTTTTATACTCAATCAGGAGCTTTGCTAATCTGAATGCATGCGAAGAATCAACACGATATTTCCAATTCTGTTCCTGATCAGCGCCGAACATCAAAGCATTCGCCGAAACACTCTGCTAGTACGCACCCGGTAAACCTTGGAATTGTGCCTCTTCCATGTCGAACAACAGCAACCCCGTCAGAACGTCTGACGACTAAAGAACAAATGACAGTGAATTAGATGGCTATGGCTCTTGCCGTTCGACGGTCTACGTTCACTGAGCTCAAGAACTTACGCACTAAATAAGCTGAGCGCGGAGATGAGACTGAGTCCAGATCGACCTCTTGGTGAGCGCTGAGGTACGGAACAGTAATCAAGCAAATGAAAGTAGTATACGAGGGCACAGCAGCAGTCGCTCAGGGGTTGCGCTTGTTTGTTAAGTACGAGGTCAAGATGTAACTGATTCTGGACTGATCAACGACAATATCTTCTAGCTGACATCACTGAGGCCAGTCTCTGGGTAGTGGGTGAAGTCAACCCTCCTTTCAGCGCTTCGTGTGCTCGCTGTCGTTGTTTGCGCGCGGATGAATTGCCCTTTGATAAAGATCGTGTCTCGATTCCTTCACTTTCTTACCTTTCACTTTCAGGCTGCTTACCTTCCTAGCACCTTAGTCACACACCATACCACTACAATAACATAGCTTACACACACCATACCACTACAATAACATAGCTTACACAGCGCAGCCTTTTTACCACCGATACTTCAGGCTCTCTCTACGAAGGGACCTCGAGATTGGTCTATCGTGGTCACAGTGTTGGCTATCAAGATATCGAAGGCAACTGACGACTTCGTTTTTACTTCTTCCACTCAGCCAATTCGACAGTCTAAGCCTTCACTTGACTACGTTGGTCCGATCGACTTCAGCTTCAAGTTTTCCACATTCAGAGACCTGTTGAATTACAACATCATCAGTCATTCCTCGCTGCGCTTACCTTCCTTGCCCATCTTATACACCACCAGGCGCTTTTCATCATGACTTCCACCAATGAAACTGGCCTCACCAATGCCGTTCGTATCAATAGCAGTGTCAGCCAGAAGCTCTACGGCAGACCTATCTTCGAAAGCGTCACCCTCTGGGATGTGTATGTACAGAAGATGATGAGACCTTCAGCACCCCACGACCAGGCGTCTCAGATCGCACGTCGCATCGGCACTCCTCTCCGTGCATACCTCGAGCATCGCCATGAAAGAAGTGACCAGGTTCGCATGGACTGGTCGTATGCTGTCTTCCTTCACATGAGCTGCAAGCTTGACACAAAGCAGGACTCCATCAATTGGGGTTGGGCATCGGACTACTGGAAGATGAATTCTGGTGATGCCTATGTCATCAGAGAAGATGGCAAGCCACTGTGTCCTAGACTTCTGGAGGTCCTCTGCGCCTGGTGCTACCAAGAGCTGCAGCCCAAGTTCCAGATAGCCATGGAGGAGTACTACGACCGCTTTGTTGACAAGAGAAAGGATGTCCTTGCTCTGATAACCAAGGAGAACTTCGAGGCTTACAAAGAGAAGTTTGAGAGAGAAGGCAAGACCGCAGACTATGGTTTCGACGATTTCGACTTCGCCTCGGCCGAGGAGGTGTATGAGGAAATACTACGTACTGGTCAGATTCAGGATCAGAATGCATCGGCAAGGGAGAAGACAACGACTCGAATTGAGTCCAGAGCGGCATATCTTATCAGATGATATTCGATCTCCGCTAAAGCGACAGTCCGGACTGGTAGGAGATCTCCGACATACAGAAACTACCTTAAGTTGACCATGTTACAGTGCTATCTCGCTAGACAACACGGAGCTACCAAAACCTGATAAGAGCCCAGAAGACAATCCAAAAGACATGCGCCCCAGCATACCCACCGTGAGTTTGGGGATCGTCCACCATGCATCGGCATGTGACTGCGAAGGCGGGGTAGATCAAGGTACCTTTAGTAGAAGGGATGGAGGGGTGCTCTCCTAGCTCCAAGGATCTTTCTTGTATCGCTCTTTCGACTACCACATTCTCCATCTCTGACCTTATCATCCGTGACTGTGACAATAATGGCCAAAGCAGCATCCCCGTATTGTCGAAAGGACTCGGGCATTGAACTAGACGATAAATACGAGAAGACCTCCTTCCTTGCTCTTCCAGCCGAGATTCGCACCCAGATCTGGCAACTCGTCTTCGACCCAGCACAAAGCTANCAAAATGCATTTCAATGCCCCAGATGCAACGAAAATGCACCTTCAGCTCTTCAAGAAGACTACTGGGCTTCAACATACCTCCAACCTCTACTCACCTGCCGTCAATTCTATCAAGACGCCCATCTCCTAGCCTTCTCCCGAACAACCTTCGTGATTCGTAACCCATATACCGTACTCGATATTGCAGGCCGCATAAACTCCACACTTCGCCCTGCCCAGATCTCCTCCCTTCGCAGTATAGCAATCATCTCAGAAGCACGCCATTTCCGCCAGATGCACCATTGGAAGACTCATGCGTTTGGGATACCTGCTCTTCGGCTTGAAGACATGACGATCATACTACATCGGTCCTCGTACTGGCATTATCTGTTCGACTTCAATGTCATGATGACACAGATGCTAAGGGACTTTAGCGGTGTTAAGAAGATATGTTTCGTACGGAATCATGCAAGAGTAAAGCCACACTTCCACACTTGGTTCAATAGATTTGTGGGTGCCATGATGAGATTGGATAGAGTGGAGAGGTTTGGAAGGAAAGAGTCTCGAGCGGAAAAGACTTGGTGGAATTGGGTTTATGAAGATGACAAACAGACTGCGACGTTGATCAAGGTGCCGAGTAAGGATGCTGCGTTGGATGTTGAGGAGTATGATGAGCTCATGGCGCCTATGATGGAGTGGTTGAAGAAGAGTATGGAGCTTGAGGAGTATGATCCGGATCCGATGTCGAGGCTTGGGTTTGTTTGACGCTTGTCTTGTATATTGATTTGTATCATCGAAGCATTTCGAGCCATTACTGATCGGACCCATGTCAATGTATCACCCTTGTTGAAATCAATGTGCATCTAGATAGCCACATCTTGACGGTCTCTGATAAAGAGGTCAAGGTCTCCTTGCCAGTGCTTTTAAAGCCACCCTTGCCGATTCCAAGTGCCTAGTGGCCAGGTACTAATCGAAGTCATGGACATGGCTACAGTCTTCCCTTCGAGTAAAAAATGTTAGAAGCCTGCATTATGCATTCAAGAATAGCAAACAAGAGCTGATAATGCACAATTGTCTTTATGTCCGAGTCATATCCCGCGAAGGGCCTAGAGGGCAATGATTCCTATGAACCAAAAACTGTGTTGCTCAAGATTATGGTGTATCTTCAATTCTTCGTGCAAACAGACCACCAGGCTGCGCTGTCTTGGTAAGAGAAGAGCCACAAATCATCAGTGTGCAGTTGATATTAAAGCCATAGGCATCTCCATATTAGGGGGGAAGGTTATCGGAGAAAGAGGAAAAGTGAAAGTTGAAGCGGTGGCCATAGCCTACTTTCTGTGATATTTTGAAAAGATTGTAACATGCTGTGCAGCAAGCGAGTGAAGAACCAACAGAAAGGGAGTTTTTCTCGGGTTTTCTGAGGCGGTAAGAAATCAGTCGCTTTCTTCTGGCAGATTATGTATGTCAATCACGACTGATCGTATTGACTTGAGTATTGTTTGATTTCAGACGAAAAGCAAATTCTGGAGCAAAGCGCAGTGACAGACACATGGGAGCAACGGAAATGTTATACCTTTGATAGCATGGCTACTGTCACTTTGACCGCCTCTTAAGAGCCGATAGGCGATGATAAGACTGCGATGCATGAGCAAAGAGCCGCCCCATACACGCAGCTATATGCAGCCTTTCAGGAAACTTGTTGACAGTGCAGTACTAAGTAACTCAAGCTTCGAGACAAACCATGCACGCTAATTTACTTCTGTTCTCCGAGATGCCATCAAGTGAAGGATACAAGCAAGCATGCATAGGACCTCGGAAGTGTAGCGTCCTCTAGTGGTTTTCAGAACGAAAACAAGTCAAAGCTTTGGGGTTGTTGGAGTGAAGCCTCGATTAGGGTGAGATTCCCAAGACAAAATCCTCAGCTTTGGCTTGCCTGTGTTTGATGCAAACATTTTTAGGTGCTCAGGAGGCTCGCATGCAAGCAAAGGTCAATTGATGACAGGGATAGAGCAGTTTAAAGGTCCAAAAGACATTGACCGATGTGGGGGTCGAACCCACGACCTTTTCCGCTCTACAGCATGAGATTTGACCTCGAAAGTCCTCATTAATGTAAAGGAAACGCCATTACCACTAGACTAATCAGCCCTGTTATGGAGGATTCAAGAAAGTTAGGGAATAAGTTGTGGTTAAGATTGGGGGTGGAGTGAAGCCTGTGCGAAAATCCGGGCGAAAATGCCGCATAACGGATTTTTCGGGGCTCAGTCACTTCCAGCACGACATTAGGACGTCTCTGGAGTGATTAAGAACATCAGATATGCCTTGGTAGAGCAAACGAACAAAGGGGTATGGGAATATATAGAAAAAGGAGGAAATTTGCTGGAAAGAGAATGCAAAGAAGCTTTTTGAAGACAAACTCGAAACCAGAGTTCCTAAAGCATAAAATGACATAAAAGAAAGTTCTGCTAAGCCGAGTAGAGACCCAGCAGCTCTGTCTGCAACGAAATATGAACGGCAATACCCGTTCTGGTGATTTCGCTAGAGATGATACGATACATACACTGAACTTCGAGGAATCTCGAAATCTTGTTGCACGCGCAAGACTTACCAATCGAGTTGCAAATGCCTTCTATGATTTATTATCTTGTAGAAAAGTTTTGTGAATCGTCGGTGGTGGAATAGCATTGCGACAGGACGAGAGGTCGTTAAGAGCGTTGGTCTTGGCACAAGCTGCCAAATTACCATAACAACCATGGCAACCGGGAACTCTTCATCCTCGATAACGAATAATCATCCTGACTCCAAAGGAACAATGAACAGCACTGAAATTCGAAATACTGCTCAAGTCGACTCTGAACAGGGCAAGAGTCCCGAGTCTAAAGTCACGGTCGATATTGAGAGGCAATGCGCTGTTCCTCTTGCCAGTGGAGCTCAATGTCCTCGCGATTTGACTTGCACACGCCATGGTATGAGTGCAAAGCGCGCTGTACCAGGTAGAAGTGCTCCGTTCGACCAGCTTCTAGCCATATATCAGCGCGATGACTAGATTGTATCAATAGGTACGTCTAGCATCGTGTATAGCAGCCAACCACCACCATCAGTACCACGATGCTCGCGTAATTCAACTTTCGAAACACTCACAGCAGAGCCGCTTGATATGATATAGCTGAGACGTTCAGCTAGACAAGAAGGTGCATCCTTGAATCAGTCACGATACGATCCCAGCAAATGTCACGTCCAAGATTGTATACAATTCAAAGCACAGGGTGCCTCGAGCGACAAAGAAACAATATCCAAGGCGAGCTCGCAAGACTGCAAGACAAGACTCAAACACTTTCATGCGGCATTTACATGGGCAAACAGTTAAACCACTAGACTCCATCAGAAGTCATTGCTGTCTAGTGAGTTGGGCGGGGTGGTCTCGCCGTCGACTCCAGCTTCTTTATGCCCCCGCACACACAAGTTTCATGCTCTGCACCTATATTATAACAAGCGGCTCCTAGAGCATTTCATCAAACAATGTATGTATGTTACACTCATGTGCTGCAGTAAAGCGTGAATTGCTTCGGAAGTGGGGAGTTCGTGATGTTCAGCCCACAGCTCTCGCTCTTCTGCATGCCCACAGACGAGTCATCATGGGTTTGGTTTCGATTACTCTTAACAACTTCAATACTAAGGGCAGGTACTGACACAGATCCTACTCAGAAAATTCTCGTCACATCCCTCTCCTGGCGGTACCCTCCAACCATGTCGCAACAATGGAGATAAAAGTTGGATCCGTGTGCTCCAAACGCTCAGCTTCATCAACCAAACAAGGGAAGTTATGGTAGCATACGTCAGGGGGCTGAGAATGAAGGACGGTCCTTGAGCGAGGAAGTCTTCGAAGATAACACGCTTGATGAAGCGCTATGCCAGCGGCGAGATCCCGCTGTAGAGACCCAATCTATCACGGAGGTCAATCCAGGAGCGATCAGCTACCATACTCTCATTGGACAATTACTCAGTTTTGCAGTCCTTTATTTGCCCTCGAACACACTGAAGATTCTGCCTTGAGTGCGGCGACGCACCAGCCGTAAGTACATTACTCAAATGCAGTGGACGACTCGACGATCTGGAGAATGCGACTTTCTTGATCGAAAGGTTCCCGATTGCGACATACGAGCACGGCTATGCAGCAGAGACTGCTACAGCTACTGTTTGAGCCTCGTCCATCTACCGAATGTGAACGTCGATGGGGAATGACGAGTCGACCTCGCTTGTAAGTCACTATCCATGAAGCATAAACTTCGCCTTACTCAAATGTCAAGCATGAAAATTCTCCAAGACCAGAAGCATAGCGAAATGTTTCGATTGCCCGTCAGCGGTCAATCAACCTTAAAAGACTAAAGTGCCATGACGATACATCTCGACAATGCAGCTATTCGCAGATTGCGACGTCGAGATCTCCCGAATTCGTCAATATCGATTTTCTGCCGTGTCGCATTGAAGAGCCAGAAGGTCAGAATTGACGAAAAGAGCGATCCTCGTAATCTAGACATGCCTTTCGAAATGCCTTTCGAAATGCCGTGTCATAAGGCAAGACACATTCGTCGTCAATATTCGCTGGAAGATAGAGAACCGTTGTGACGCCTCACACAAACCACGCGATGGGGAAACTTCGGTTGAAGGCTTGGTCAAACATGTACCGCGACGCCTTCTGCATCACCCCTAACTCCCAGCTCAACGGTTTTCGCGAGCCGACACTCTCATGCAATGTTTGCTCGCTGTTTACATTGATGCTGATATCACTGGATCAGAGTTGTCGCGAGAGTGCGATTGCGTCTACAAAGACTTGACTCAATTAACAACCTCTTCGCTGCGATAGAAATTTGTCAATGGTAGGTCTTATAATGACATTCGGCCAGACCTACTCGTTGTCGGGGCGGTCTATCGATTCAAACCGTTTTCCAAACGTCGAGATTATGGAGGTTTGTATGGAGGCGTCCAGGGCAAGCGGTGTTGAAATAGAAAATCCACATGCTCTCCATTCTGTTCTGCTCAGTGTCTGCTACCAATCTTTTCATACGCTCGTTCAAGTTTCTGTTCAAGATGCGCAACATCTCATCCATCTCTGCCCTCGCCCTGTTGCTGGTTTCAGCAGTGGCAGGTAGTGTATCGCCCATTGACACCACCGAAATCGAGCGCGCTGTCGAGTGCAACCCGGAATCTGGACTGTGTAATGTCGAGCTTGTGGACAGAGCTGTGACGAGCACGAAGCATTCGAGTTCGAGCTCTTCTCATAAGACGACCTCGACCAAAAAGTCTTCCTCGACCAAGAAATCGTCCTCAACCAAGAAATCATCATCCACAAAGAAGACTACTGCAAAGACAACTTTGAAGACTGAGGTCAAAGTCGTGACCACGAAGGCCGCGACGGTCACGTCCTCTTCCAAGAAGCCTACTTCATCATCCAAGAGTTCAAGCAAGCCAGCCTCTTTCAGCTCCAGGAAGACTTCCTCTTCATCAGTCATCAAGCCTACCACTGTTGCCAAGGCTGTAACCTCTTCTTCGAAGACCTCAACCACGAGCACCAAGCCTGCTTCTAGCAGCTCCAAAGTCTCGTCGACTAGTAGCAAGGCTACCTCTAGCAGCAAGGTCACCTCCTCGACCTCAAGCTCAAAGGTAAGAACTCTTGATCACTCTTTTGATATTACCATATACTAACAATCGCGCAGAAGCCTACTTCAACCTCAAGCTCGTCTAGCAAGAAGACCAGCAGCAGCACTTCATCAAAGGCTACTTCCACATCTGTGAAGTCATCCTCAACAACCTCGTCAGTAACCCTTTCGTCTTCTAGCCCATTCAGCACATCCATTCCTGCAGTATCCACTTCTTCGCAAGTTGCACTGCCTCTGTCTATCAATTTGTCGTCGTCAAGCTCTGTATCGAGCTCGATCTCCGCGTCATCTGCCGCTGCCATATCCGCTTCGTCGAGCAACAACTCCTCAGTGGTTAGCAGCAGCAGCAGCAGCAGTCTGAGTCTCTCGTCCTCAAGCTCTTCTAGTGCCAGCTTGGCTGCTGCTACTTCGGCATCATCGAGCGCTAGCTCTGCAGCTCTATCGTCTTCTTCTTCTGTTCTGCCATCCTCATCTTCCATCCTTGCACAATCATCTTCCTCTGTCTCGAGCTCTGCTATGTCTTCCTCATCTTCTTTTCCACTTCCCTGTCATCATCTTCACAGTCATCTTCTTTGCCTACAAGCTCTACCCAAATCACATCGTCTTCTGCTGCGGCTTCATCCACACCAGTCTCCTCAAACAGCACACTCACATCCTCCGACAGCAAAACCTCCACTTCCATCAAGCCTACTACTAGCTCAACCTCGACCAAACCCACCAGCAGCTCGACTTCGGTCAAGCCTACCACCACTTCATCATCAACCACTTCCACATCGTCTTCGTTGAGCAGTAGCTCCAGCAAGACAAGCTCATCAGCATCCACCACTTCTTCCGCTTCTTCATCTTCATCCTCTTCATCCACTTCTTCGGCAGCAGCATCATCTACAGTTGCCGCTTGCAAGAAGCGCAGAAGAAAGGTCAGAAGAGCCGCCGTCGCTGCTCCTGTTGAGACACAGGCTCCTGTCATGAAGCTCGCCGATCTGCCGCCTGGTGCTGTTGCAGACATGCTTTACTAGATTTGAGCAAGCTCGTTGACCGAGTCTTGTAGTATCGTTATCTTTCTTTTCGGGTTATCTTTTGGTTAGAGTTTTCTTCTTTCTCAATCACAAAATAATAGCTGTTTAAGAGTAATAGAATTTTCTTTTCGCAATCTCGAAGCGACGGCAATTAATACCGTGTAATTGCAAGGCTGTTGCGCCTTCCTCAGAAATCTTGGAGTTTGAAATTCATCGCGCCTTCCAAGATCGTGCTGCAAAGTTGTCGCTCCATGTATAGAAAGCACGTGGAAGTTGCGCCTTCCAACTTTACGCCTTGCACCTTCATCTTCGTTTTCTTCGCAACTTTCGTCTTTCATCTTTACATTCATCAACAACAACCAACCATCATCCAAACAACTGCGAAGCCATCAGCGACGGTGCCGCCACGCGACACACCGCTTTACTCTGCCTTCCTCAAGGGGATTGAGAGACCTGAAAGACCTTCGCATTAGCATCCCTCTGTTTGACACCGCTGCGCTGATCTCAAGTCTGCTTTTACGTCGTGAGTCACGGGGTGCAACATGAAGAAGCGGGTTGCCTGGCCTGAATGTGTGAACGACCGTTTGAGATGATGGATGCGTTGTTGGTGATCATCGATGCGAAAGATGCGAGGTGAGTACTGGTCGTGAGACGCGACGACAACGATACAGTACTGATGGCGCGTGTCCAGAACCACACTCCGTCAGTTTCCCGCCGAGATTCCTCTCCATCTTAATCTCTCCTTGTTACTCAATCCCAGGTCTTTGACTGCTGTCTTCAATGACACCTACCATTGCAGCCTCCTTGACTCCGGACATGACATATCACAGTCTGCATCTTTTCGAGGACCGAATGTTGCAATCGAACTGGAAAAGTTCATTACGTGTCATGCTTGAACATCTAACATACATCATCACCTGTGGCGCTTTACTCGATAGCATCACTCTCTGGAGGCCCCTTGTATATCTTCCTGGCGTAAACCGCATAGAACAACATCGCCAGGCTCAGAAAGCCAACAAGGACGACGCTGGCATAGTTCATCGATACTTCAGTGACCGGTAACGCGCCAGGCATAGAAAACAAGACCAACTCGAATCCGATCCACACTACCGCGATGAGGTTGACGACATATCCGATCGCATTGCCAAGATTCCAGTTCGCTGTGTTCACTTCTCTACGCGAAGACAGCAGAGAAAGAATAATCGGGATAGCATACGAAACGGCCAGTGCGATGACACCCACAGAAACGAAGGCTGTGAATGCAGAAGAAGAGCCGAGATTGATCAAGCCCAGCAACAACTGGATTAGCGTGACAAGTAAAATGGCGTTAAGTGGCATCCCCAGCTTCTCGTTCACTGCAGCGAACGTTCCAGCAANAGGCAATGCGTGGTCACGCGCTACGGCCCACGTACATCTACTCGCCGCTGTGGTAATGCTGATGCTGCAAAACAGTGTGATCAACAAGACCAAGAACGTCAGTCCCAAACCACCACCCGGCGTTCCCATGACCTTGTGGAAGATAAAAGGCAATGCTTGAGCAGCAGGAGCATCGACAATCTCCGCGAGGTCGGGAAGGAGAACGCAGATGGGGATGACGAAGAATAGACCTGCAAACCCACCTACTGGGACGCAAAGAGCCAATGCTCTAGGTACCTTGACGGAAGGGTTGTCACATTCCTCTGCCATTGAGGAAATCATGCCCAAAGCAGCGAAGCAATATGCTGCTGGCAACAACCCGATGAAGAAAGTGAAACCGCCATAACCCGAGAACGATTTGTCGTAATGTGAAAGAGCGTAAGAGGCGGAATGACGTCCTGCATCTGCCTTCGTAGACAGCGCGATGAGGATAATAAGGATGCTGATAGCTGTGAATGCAGCACATATCGTGTCGACCAAGGGTAAGAACTTATTGCCGAATGCGCAGATGAGTAAGGTTGCAATGACCAGCGCGTAGAAGATCAAAAGGAGTTCCCAGTTCGTCATTACGTAGTCTGGATGGTACATCCCGACCGCTCCTACTATAAGTGATGCGAACCCAAAGTTCACGGATAGCGTTATGGTCCAGTTGCCGATCAACCATGTCCAAGCGTTGATGAAAGAGAGCACGGTGCGGACTTTAGGAGAAGACAGTTGGAAAGTCCAATAGTAGGGGCCGGCAGAGGTTGGGTAACGGGAAGCTAGTTCACCAAGAGAGAGGGCGATGCANNCCTGCAGTCGACCGTGTTAGCAACTTTCAGATCCAGGAGGACAGAGGTAGAAGGTGAAGATTGCATACTCGTCTAGGATGCACACGACTATCCAGCCGACAAAGATGGATAATTGGCCACCGCCATAGATAGCACTCATAAGTGGACTGCCTTCTCCATAAGCTACAAAAGAGGTGTTAGCAATCTACGCGAAAGTATAGATTGGCCATCACGTACGAATAGCAGCCATGGCCAGAGATTGGAACAAGAGTGTGAGCATCGATCTATTCCTTGTCATCTCGGGCTTGTAGCCGAGCTGACTTAGATCTTGTATCTCCCNCACGCCATTGTCCGTCCGAGTCTGTGATCTCGAGANGACCTTTTCATCTGCCATGCTAGGGAAAGAGGTCTTGATGGAGTCCTCAGACATGGTCGTTATGTTTGGCCAGGTTGGACCAACAGTAGATGTCGAGAAAATAGGGGGATCAAATGTGGCAAGAGCAGTAAGACAAGTGTACTTGCAAGGCACAGAGAGAAGATGGTGGCACACAAGCAGAATAGGAGAAGACCGACACAAAGAAGAATGCACCTGATGACCGACCTTTGTATATCTCTGTACCCCGCCTGTTTCTCAGAGCCTTGTCAAGGTTGACCAACCATTCGAACGCTGAGAAGCCTATAACGCCCACTGTATGGTCACATTGGGCTTATCGTCGAACATAATCCAAGTCAGCTTCGTCGTTTTGCAAGGGTTTGGTCGAGATAACAGCCGAAAGGGGATAGTATATCGACCAATCTTCCGACAATCCCCCGACCAGGAGACTAAACTCTAAATGGTCTATCTTCCCATGCATATAGAGATTCGAGAACCGGTACAGCTCTGGAGACCAGATAGAGGCTTATCTTTTTAAGTAACTGCAGTCAGCGATAAGGGTTGTAACCTAGGGAGGACACATGGCGGGGTAGAAGGGGAAATGCATGTCTCCACGTCTGGCCGTACCACGCTACAAACTCGATAGGCTGACCATGGACATGTGGTTACCTATATTCGAAAGAAACTTCCGAGATCATTTTTATTTGACTCTGTGACTTACCATGCTTACAACACGAGTGATAAAACCTTTTAACGCTTGTACGAAGGACGAAGAGTGTGGTCGTTCGAAAGTCTGAAGCCTAACAATGCCACGTATCGCCCTCGATCCTGATTTCAACGATAACACGACCATGAATGGTATGTCACTCACCTCAAGTGAAGTTGTGCGAAGTTGAATATAGAGTGGCAAGCGGGAAACCGCGGTGCTGTATGTGCGGAAGTCCAGATCCAGGCTTCGAGGCCAGCCCATGCATGCTGCGACTTCTCGAATCCAAACACGACTCGAGATGGTGTGTCGAAAAGAGCAACCGAATTCTGCAGATCGAGTAAGGAAGACGCGCAGTGCCGTCTCGGTCCACTCTGTGTTGAGGCGTGATTCGATCGATAGCGCATTGGCAATCGAATTTGGTGAAAGGTTGTGTGACTATTTCAGTACGTTCTGCAAAGCAGCCAGAGATGCTGTTCGTTCAGGCCTATACTGGATTGTCGAGCATGATTGTATATCCAATATAGAGGACAAGCTTCTCAACGGGCGCTCTGGCCGAGTGGTCTAAGGCGTTAGACTTGAATCATAATTCAGCAATCTAATCTCTTCGGAGGCATGTGTTCGAACCACATGGGCGTCGATATCTCCTTTGCTTTTGGTCCGAGGACATAATCAAGATCTAGTTACAAGCGATCTATGACTGTGGGCGAAAATGTCCTTTTGCGCGGTCTGACACGGAGTTCAATTCATTGGCAGTCTTGACGGATTCGCGCTTAGGAAATCAAGAGGTATGAAACAGTTGATATGAACATCACAGCAACCGAGTATTGTGAGATAGATGGTTGTGGTTGGTGGTATATCAGCTTGGTGTACTCGCTTAGCCCCAATCCGATATAACGCATAGATCTCGCATACATGACCCATCCTCTCAAGTCTCATCTCTCACTATCTACAAATCAAACTTCCTCATCCTCACCCACAAGTCCCATCTGTATCGCCATCTTCCTCTCCTGCTCAAAGTACGCAGAAGCCAATTCACTAGCCTTGAACTTTCCGGTCTTGAAGACCGAGTAATCTGTACTGTTGTGTTCATTCACAATGATGATACCGTCCTTGTGTTCGCGGCTCAGAAATGACGAGTCTGAGACTCCAGCCATGAATTCATCGTAGGCATTCATGCTGTCGGCGGAGATGGTGTCTCTCATGGAGAGTTCCATGGCTGAGTGATGGGGGAGATGCTGATCTAAGATGGTGGAACGCAACAGACTAGAGTATGCCACGCAGATGGCGTAAAGATGTCGAGTGTAGCGTTGACTGCTACTTGTGTAGGAGATGTTCGCTCGTGTCCCAAGTCTCGATTGGATATAACCCGAAGATGAAAGTGATGCTAATCCGGAGCTCGAGAAAAGTGGCTTGAGATTGGCACAAAGAGAGCGTGATGTGGGAAAACAGGTCTCTGTGGGCTGGGGTCTCAGTGCGTAGAGAATAGATGAGGGCGCTTGTGGTAACCTGGATTTGAGAGAAGCTTGCTGTATAGCTTCAGTTACTACAAGCTGTGCTTTGTTGGCCTCATCAGAAGCCTCACGCACGGAACTTGCTCAACAGTTTTTCTTGAATCCTTCGAGCGAAACTTGGGAAAACGAAGCGAGCGGTTGTTGGTAAATTTCAGAAGAGTTGTCATAAAGATCAGATTTCACCTCAATACTGACATGACAATCAAAATGCTAATGATCATATAACTGAAGCGCAGGAAGATGCATGGAAGGTATGAAAGATTGATAGTAGCGACTCACCGTACTCCGACTATAGTCTAGAGCAAAACCTAGACTATAAAAATGCACGATTGTTTAGAGAAGTAGAGGCGTGTCCACTGAGAGTCGAGAACTCGTTGTCTCTCAGTGGATGTCATCTCATTTTCTAATAGTATTGTGCATTGTTGTAGGTATACGTTAGATACTTTGGTACACGGGGAGGTAGCACGTCCTTCTCCTGAGCAATATAAACATGAACCTCATGGGTATCATAAAACATGTAGTTCTCTTTCTTCTCTAACGTCCCTGATCATCAGCACCCAATTCAGCACCGTCTTCGAGAATAGCATTGAGATACTGTTGCTTCTCAATGTAGTTGTCCACAGCTCTTTTGACACCCTCGTATGCCTCGTCCAGCAACTCTCTTGCAATTCTCACGCGTGTGTCCTTGTCCAGAAGACGCAGGGCGTCTGAGATTCGTGGGTCCGTCGAGGAGTTGAATGAACTGAGGAGGCCCGAAACATCTTGGCCATTGGGAGGCTGTAGCGCGGATTGATTGGGGGTTTGATGAGGTTGGAGGGCGGGAGATGTGGTAGATGGGTGATTCAGGGCAGAGGCAAAGGCTCTATCGATCTGAGCGCGGTTGAAGTTGGAAGCACCGCGCTGCGGTACGGACGACGGCGTCGAGGCGTGGGAGATGGAGTTTGGGTTGGCGCGAAGTGCTGACGAAGGTGTAGGTCTTTCTGAGCGAGGAGTGTCGTTCATACCGTTCAATCTCGGCGCGCCAACATTGCCGTTACCAAACAGTACAGCAGCTTGGGCACCGAGTTGGCCATTCACAGCTCCCATGCCCACAGCGCCTTGTCCTGCATGACCTTGTTGCAATCTTCTGCAGCCAGTCTGATCGAGGACGGATTCCAGGACGACAGCAGGCATCTGCTCGAGTTCGCGACACAGGTAGCCGCCGGCATTCTCAGCCTCAACAAGCTGAACGACGTGTTCGTTGAAGGCGACGCATTGCTTGAGATGTGAAGTCTTGCGTGAAGTGCTGTTGTAGGCGACTTTCTNTTCTATGCACCATTTGCATTGCACGGCGCGTGATTTTCCATCCGAGTCGCAGTCTTGAAATTGGCGTGACGCCCAGGCTTGTTGCGGTGGCATGGCGACTTTTGTGGTAAGCGACCTTGATGGTGGTTGCGAATGTGTTTGGGTAGTTGTCAACTGCGAGCGTGAAGACACTGAAGAGACGTTTTGTCGCGCGTCGGCTCGTTGAGAAGAGTTGGGCACCCACCAAGGCCCGTGCCCATTGGCCAAGGTCACGCGTTTGGATTTTACTGCCACTCCTGATCACCAGCGATGTACCATCAATTCACCACCTCCCGTGTGCGAGGGATATGTAACGTACACACTACAAAAATGCACAAATCTATTCAGAAATAAGAATATGGCCAAAGAGAGCTGATGAGAGATCGCTTCTCAGCGGACACTATCCTATTTTATGATAGTATTGTGCATTTTTATAGCGTGTACTTTACGCTCTGCTATGATCGGAGTAGTGGAAGCTACATCCTTTGGCACTCCGAGAGGTAGCAAAAATCCAGTGTGGGGCTAGCTCACGTTTGCTTGGAGCCACTTGCATGCACCATCAGCCAATCTATGATCAATCATCATTTCATATCTTGACCTCTCGTTCTGGAGAGGAATCGAACCGCTGCCTGTCCTATGCAAATGTACATGTTTTGTATCTCCTCACCCTCCTCTTTCTGCTTACATACTCTTAGCATGCGAGCAAACGATGGAACAAAAGAAAATAGAAAAAGGGAATAAAGGTTGTTGCTGATTCTCATGCCTCTTTTCTCATACGGGACCGACTGGTCTTTTCCTCATTTCTTTTCAGCAGAAAAATATGTGTCTTGTGTGCGCGTGTGATTGTGCTCCTCTTTCGTATCTTCTGTCTCTCATGGTGAGTCTTTCTTCTATACTGCCACTGCACCTTTGTTGGACTTGGTGCTGGATGTGGCATCGAGTGGAGCAGCGTGGAGTGCAGGCTTTGCCTTCTTGCCCAATGTGCCGTTCCTCTTCTTCTCGATCTGTCCGCGCACCCATTCACCAACTTCACGGTCGACCCACTTCTCAGAGTCTCCAAGTTGTTGTGCTTTGGATGCTGCATCGACATCGCTCTCGGATGCACCAATGCCTTCTCCTTGTGCTACATCAGCCTCCTCGCCTTCGGCAGCTTCTTCGTCTTCTTCCGAAATAACGTCGGGTTTCATCAATGGAGCGAGCCATGCGTGTTGAAGAAGCATGGCGTATGTGGGTCGAAGCTTGGGAATCTTGTTCAGACAGCCTGCAACAAAGTTGCGCGCTGCGTCGCTGAACTCGCCGGTAGGAAGATCTGGCGGCTCTCCGTCTACAATGGCNNCTGATATGAATGTCAGCAGTTGATACCAGGGAACAGAATGTTCAATACTCACACTCAATTGACTGAAGATGTTGTCGTATGTCTCGGGTGGGTAGGGGTATCTGCCCATGGCGCACTCGATGATGGTTAAACCCAAACTCCAGATATCACTCTGTACGCTGTAGGTACCGCCACCAGGGTTGGCACCGGCTTGAGCGACTCCGCCAGAACTGATACGTTCAGGAGCCATGTATGACTGACATCCAATATTTGTCTTTGCAATCGAAGCAACGAGGTTTCCACTGACACCAAAGTCGCAAATCTTGATAGCACCAGCCGTGTTTACCAAGATGTTGGTTGGCTTGACGTCGCGATGAATGATGTTATGTTCATCCTTGAGAGACTTGAGACCACGCGTTGTCGCAAGAGTGACCTTGCGGAGGACATTTTCGGGCACACCATCGCCGTACAACTTGTCCATGGAACCACCGTCCATAAACTCCATACAGATGTAGACGGCTCCTTCTTGGAAGAAGGCACCGTAAAAGTCGACGATGAAGGGNNGGGAAGCGCAACGGTGCAGGACATCGAGTTCCATGATGATGGTAGCGAACTTTGAGTCTTCGAGCTCGAGACGCATCTCCTTCATGGCCATGACTATGCCTGTTGTGTTGCCGCGAGGAGCGGCTGTCTCATCTCTTGTCTCGCCGGGTCCAGCCTTGTTGCCTGCCAAACCTTGGCCGACCTTGCGCATTTGTGGTCTTGAATGACGAACCTTGTAGACTGTACCGTAGTTTCCTTTGCCCAACTCGTCAAGGGTGTCGACTTCGTCCAGCGAAATCTGGAATGATTGACCTGACGAGAACTGGACTCCTTTGCTGTTGAGGACGGCTTTGCCCTTGAATTTCAGACTGCCCGTTTCTTTGTCAATGTATTCAGCGTATCGATCCATGGCAGATTCTTGCTTGGGAGGAGCGGAGTCGCCATTGGCACCACCACCCATGCCAGACAAAGTCATCTTAGGTTTTTGTCTGCCGCCAGCGGCTGGGGGAGCGCCAGGAAGACCGCCAGGCATTTTGAGACCACGCTTCTCGGCAAGTGAGGGACCTCTGCCGGCGCCGACATTGGGAGATGAAGCAAAGCTTGGAGGACCAGGGCGACTGCCAGGAACACCGGGTGGCATACGGAAGTTAGCGGGAAGACCACCGGGCATCTGAGGACCGGTCGGGGATGGACCGCCAGGACCAGGAGTGGCAGCAGCAGGAGTACTTGGAGGGTTGCGACCTGCAGCAGGAGCACCTTGTCTGTTCAAGTGGAAGGCCTTCATTCTGGCAAGGATGTNCGNGTTGACAGCACCTCCACGACCGAGAGTGCTGACGGTAGGAGCAGGGCGTCTAGCAGCATTGACATTACCAAGCGGCGTGGACGACTGGGTCATGTTGGCGGCCGAGGAAGGTGGGGGTGAAGAAACGGAGTGAGGCGACATTGGTGGACGGGTCGAGTCTGGGGACTCTGGGGGAGAGGCTATGGATGAGGGCGACTGCAGCGGACTGCTCGAGTCTTCTGAGGGAGTCGACGACGCCATTGCTGGAAGGGGATGTGCAGCAATGGTATTGTGGGCCAGGCTGTGTCTGACGAGTGGGTGTGGCAGACTGGGCGAAGATGGATGAGAGACGAGTTGAGACTCAAAGTCGTCAGACGTGGATGGTCATCAGTTGAAACACGAGGCTTCGAGTGTGAATGTGAGAGAGGAAGCCAAGACAGCAAGTCAGAGGCAGACCTATGATGTATGTTCGAAGAGAGCGAAAAGGAACTTGGGCCGAAAGACGATGGCCGCCGCACGCTGCTGCTCCTGCTGTCGTCGTCTCGGTCGAAAGCTTTCGATCCGCTTGTGGCGCGTGCAAGCAAGCCACCGACCATCATGATCCATCACCTTTCTTCCTCCTTCCACAACTACCGACCAACTTTTTTCAACTTTCTACACCCGTCTGCCTACTAATTCTGGTATAATCCTTATAGTGTCTGTGTATCTATCGTATACTTTCTTGAATCACACTTTGTGCTATCCGCTCATTCGCTGCGAACAAAGTGCCGTCGGCCAACAAGTCCGCCCTGCAACCACGTTCCCTGCTGCAGACGCATACCTGGTTACGTCAGTCCTCGAAAAGATGGCAGTCGCAAAACAGTGACATCGCTTCAAATCCACTCACGTTGCACCTGCAGTGCCACAAATGTTCCAACAAGCGACACGGTTGGTGCAAATGTCTCCATATCTGTCACCGACTTTCAACTTTTCCATCCATTGATAACCATCGCTCCAATCATCATCCTCCGCATTTTGCTGAGTCGCTTGCTTTGCACTTCCGCTCTCACCACGCTCACCCTGTCAAGCCACATGCGGCTCCTCCAGCAATCGTCCCCCATAATTCTTGGCCTTGGCAACGTTGTTTCCGTGCGAGTTGCTCAATTTGACATGAAGATCGAGCGATTTGCTCCAAACACACTGATCCAGACTGTTTTTCCCTTGAGGTCAAGAACATCCAAAAGAGTCATGAGTCTCCTATTTCTTTTGCTTTCAGACACCAATTTCCTTTCTCTTCCGTGTCAATCTGATCCGGATAAAACTTTGTCTTTGCCGCGAACCCGGTCTTTTGCAGACTGCAGTGCCGAATCCACTGCATAGGAGGACGAGAGCCGGTTCCATCCGCACCTATAATGTTGAATTGCATGATCCGGCATGTCTGCTACTGACCAGCGATCTCTACCGGCTTATACTGCCACTTCAACACATTTCGTCGTGTCCTATTAGGCAGAACGTCATGCTTTGGTAATGGATTTGACTTCAGAAAACATTAACCCAATTATCATTAGAAAGTTATGTTATAGCTAACTAGACCCTTGCCAAACTTAATCAACAGATAACATTACAAAGGAAAATCCGAACCTGAACAAGGAAGAAAATAGTCTCTTAACACCCCTTTACGCAGCAGCCACCGAACCATACATCGTCTGCAGAGTCGTGATTTCATCTCTCTTGGTTATAGCCAGAATATAGGCAGTACATCCATTACCACCAAGCAGATTGACATTGCCGACACCGATCACGGCGTTGTTGGCACTACTACTGCAGCTGGTAATTGTTGAGTAGGAAATGACACTCGATGCAGTGGCTGCCGAAGTGATTGTGGCCATTGACGTGGTGTATGATGCTATCGATGAGCTTGTGGTCCCTGAAACCGTAGATGACAGTTTCGAGGTGCTCGGGGTACTCAAGACCGTGGACGACAACACCGGACTGCTGGCGACGATCACGGCGCTTGACGACACCATAGTCGAGCTAGAGACCGAGGCGACGGGGCTTGACGACGCGGGTGAAGTTAATGGTCTTGTCGAGGAGCCAATACTTGCTACAACAGAACTACTCTGGGGTACAATCGAAGTGACGGTGACCAGGCTGACCACTACAACGCTCGAGCTTGATGGGGTTGCAGAAGATACTGGCGCGCTAGACGAGCTGCTAACCACGACAAGGGTGTTCGATGGCACGATGTTAGAGGCCCCCAGAATCGAGGATGCAATGCTCGATGAAGAGGATGCAAAGCTCGACGAAGAGAGTACAACGCTCGATGAAGAGGACGCCATGGTCGAAGGTGTAACGCTCAAGGGTGTTGAGATAGAGGTCGACACGGAATTGCTAGATAGACTGCTCGACAAGGCCGAAGACGCCGTAGATGAGCCAACACTCGAGCTGATCGAAGTGCCCTGTGATACAGGAAGGATGTTTGTAGCAACACTGACCACCACAGTACTGGTGGCCGTTGTCAATACAACAAGGGGTTGAGAGCTGGAGGTGCTACTAGCCACGATTGCGACACTTGAAGATGAAGAGGCCTGAATCGATAGACTCGTGCTCACTTGGGCAAGAGATGTTGTAGAAGAGCCGGCACCTGAGCTAATCGAGGTTGTTTGACTTATTAAAATAGCAGTCGTAAGTGGATTGGCAGCCAAAACACCGGTGGCGGTGTTAGGTATGGTTACTGCCGGAGAGCTCACACTACTGCTAGACGAGGCCACAGTGGTCAAGCTTGTACTCAACGACGGAGACGAAACAGCCTGACTTGATGAACTGCTTGACTGCATCGAAGTTGACGTGAGGCTGCTGGGAGTTGTCGAGGCCATCTGAGACGAGGCGAGCACATTCGTGACACCAGCGATAGACAGGCTGCTAGTAGTGGCCATGGAAACAGCGGCCGAAGAGCTGGAAGCACTACTAATTATGCTTGCGGTACTCGAAGATGAAGTGACCTGGCTCGACAAACCGACGCCAACTTGGACTGATGGTGACGGAACAGACACGATACTCGAGCTGGCCGATATGCTCTGTATTATCAGGCTAGCACTTGTGGCTGAGTTGATGACCACGACGCTACTAATAGTGGACGATATGGATAATATCGAAGAGCCTCCACCACTACTGGGTACACTCAAAGTGCTCAATAGCGTGCTGCTCGACATCGATGAAGTAGCCTGAGTTGACAGGCTGCTTGACTGCGCCATGACTGTTGACACACTTGCTAAACCAGATGTAGCGGAGGACACCTGAGGAATAGAAAGCGCACTTGTAGCGCCAAGTACCACGACTGAACTTGAGGGCAACGAGGTTTGAGACGTTACGAGTATACTATTGCCAATACCAGCCAGTTGAGTGCTCGCAATAGATGGAGATATGCTGATGATTGATGAGCTGAGGATTGTTCCTGATGTGCTCAACGACAAGGTAGTCAGGGCAGCAGATGAAGCACCCTGACTCATTGAACTACTCTGCAGCTGGACAGAAGATCCTGGGATTGTTGCAGAAGCAGAAAGGCTTGACACAGTTGTAGGCGTCGACAAGGCTACAGTAGTTCCAATTCCTGAGCTGCCAACGGCTGAACCAACAGCAGTAGTGACGGGATTCGCAGCACTAGCAGAGATTTGGGTCGAGGCGACTGAACCCGCTCCAACATTGGCTAGATTGTTGCCGCCAGCTGTTTGAACAACACCCACACTCGTATCACCAACACCAACATTGACCAAGTAACCAGTCGTAGCGGAAGAGCTCACGGCTGATATCGTAGAGCTTGAGGCAGACAGTATGACACTGGAGCTAGTCGACGATGGTGCCCCATTCGCTTGGCTAGAGATTACCTGAGAAGTGCTAGTCGAAGATGTAGGAACAACAATGGAGAAGGCGGAGCTAAGCGAGCTCTGAGGGACCAATGATGCAGTCGCTGCTGTTGAACTTGTTGCACTACTGAAAACAGAAGTACCAATGTTGATTGATGAACCCAAAGAATCCATTCCGAGACTTAGAGCACTTGTAGAAACCCCAATGACTTGAGTGTTGGACTGAACGACAGAGATAAAGGTACTGCTGGACGATGCTGAGGTAGAAACTGCCAGATTGGCACTTGATATGCTCAAAGATGACACACTCAACATGGTGCTGCTGATACTGGTTGCAACCGAGCTACCGCTCATAGAAGAAGGTATAGCAGCGGTAGATAGAGCCGATACGACGCTGGACAGAATACTCGTTGACGGCAAGCTGCTCGAAATGCTCGATGATGGAAGGTTAATCGACGTTGATGGCAAGCTCGATGAGGGCAAGTTAGTCGCAGTTGGCGGTAGACTCGATGACGGCAAAACACTTGAAGAGGGCACGATGCTCGACAATAGCGCGATGCTCGACGATGACACGATATTCGACGATGGTAAGATGCTCGAAATGCTTGACGACTGTGACACGCTCGACAATTGCAACATGCTTGACGTTGGCAGAATGTCCGAGGAGGGTAAATTGGAGAACAGCAAAATGCTCGATGCTGACGGAACGCTTGATGACTGCAAAGTGCTCGAGGATGGGACGCTCGATACGGAAGGCACGAGCTGTGAAGGGGCAGCACCGAGGCTGATTGCAGACAAAGATGCAACACTCATGCTACTACTGACATCTGCCGTGCTCGAAGAATCTGCTGGTAATGGCGAGATGCTCAAGATGGCAGAAGTGGTGGTTGATGAGCTTTGTAGACTTGCTGACGACGAAGGTGTGGGGGCCGTTCCAGGAAGAACACCAAGACTTGTACTTCCAACGTCGATGTTGACCGCGCTACTGAGGGTCGAATAGCTTGATACAGACTGTAGTATGCTCGTGGTGGGGATCAGATCTGCCGTGGTTGTTTGAACTGAAGATGTCATCAAGGAGCCGACTGCAACAAAGGGGGATGAGGTAGTAGGCGGTGCCATTGAGTAAGAGCTCTGATCGCTTATCGATATCGATATAATGCCAGAGCTCGACTCAGAAGAGACGCTAGGGAAAAATCCTAGATCTGAAGAGATTGATGATGCAGCGGCAGAAGCACTCGACGAAAGCTGCGATACAAATACAGAGTTCGAAACGCCAGAAGAAGGTGAGATGATCGAAGTTGCAGGTATCAATCCAGACATGGAAGCAACAGAGCTTGATATACTTTGGACAACGCTTATCTCGGGCAGGCTGGTTGAGATCGCTGTTTGAGCCGATCCAATACCTATAGAGCTAGCGATCGCTCCTGACGCAGGATCGTATGTTGAGACTAGACTGGAAGACAGGGTGACCGAGCTTGTCGACTGAGTAACAGAAGATTCCGCTTGAAGGATACTCGATATCAAGTCACCACTCTGTGATGAAGTTTTCGAGGAGATCTGGATGACATTCGAAGTCGGTGTCACAAGAGAAGTACTCAATGTTGTTTGAGAGACGATATCCGAAACTTGACTGACAGTCGAAGAAAATGCTGAGGCGCTTGGAATGGCTGCTCCGGACGACGTCTGCGCAGGCAGAACTGTATCTGAAGACAAACTTGAATCTATTACCACGACGCTTTCTGAAGATACTGTAAAGCTAGATGGCAGTGATGTAGCTGGTGAGTCGATGATGGATGAAATCATCGAGGGTTGGATCGTGGACGCAGCGAATGTCGAGTCAACACTTGCCAAAGTAGTGTCTAGAAGCGTCTGGCTTGTTAATACCACAGAAGAAGCAACCACTGATTCAAGCTCTGAGGCTGAGTTCAAAGGAGCCGTACTGGCTACCGCTACAGGCGTCTCTGTCGGGATGTCAACAGGACTCAAGGTGACAGCAGATAAAAATATTCCTCCCGCACTCATTGAAGTCTCCACATCAGCGATGACCGAAGACAGAGTAGGCGTACTAAGATCTGGATCTGCGGAGATTTGAACGATAGTCGATGTTGAACTTGTGTTATCAGCCAGGTTCATAAGGCTGCTGGGGATCTCAGTCGGGCCAGGATCCAGAGACTGCGACAGAGTACTGGGTATAGCGCCGACCGAACTGATTGAAGAATCAGTTACAGCAGCGGTCTCACTTGGTCCCATCGTCTGAACTTCAGTTGGTAGTCCACTAATGATGGTCGAAGCAGCTTCATCGCTCGAGGTCAGCTGTGAAGTTACAGGTAACTCCGATGAAGCATAGCCAAGCCCAATACTGACAGATACGGCCGTCGGCTGTGCTACTGTTAATGATGAAAGTGGCTCAGAATCTGCTGAGATAGTGGACAGGGCAATTGAAGATGAAGACAGTGAAACATTGTCACTGACCGCAGCAGTAATGCTGGTCGAAGCGCTAATATCAAGCTCAACGCTCGAGCTGAGGGTTAGGTCGGTGGCCGTGGAAACAGAGTATGCTGTTCCAGATAGGAAGCTGACGACTGTCGAAGCACCATCTTGACTCAGAAGAGAAGAGAGGTCGGTACTAGCACTGCCAAGTTCAACACTCGTAGCAGTCGTCTCCAACGATTCTAATGATATCATGACCGACGAAATTACCTCAGAGTTGAGGTCAGATGTAGGGCTGCTTGGCAAACCGGTCGCTTCGATACTGAGGGTCGTTTTGGTGATGGAATCAGATACATCAGGCTGACTGATTGAGCTTGGAGAAGTATCGGACAGACCAGCAGCCTGTGTCAGAATGCTAGTTGAAGCTGTCATATCTGATTCAATCGACGAAGAGCTAGTGCTGACAGCACCAAGTACGATGCTGGCACTGATCATGTCAATCAAGCTAGATGCACTGTCTGCTGCCGAGGCAGACACCATACTAGAAGGAACGTCTGTTGCCGATGAAAAGGTTGATATGTCTGTAATACCTTCAGAAGGGCTGGTGGGCAAGGCAGGCGTCTTGGACTGCGAGTCAAAGGTGATAGATGGCACATCAGTAGCCTCTGAAGCAATACTGGCAGGCGAAGGGTCAGATGCGATGATGGTACTGTCAGATGGAACCGAGAACATTGAAGAAATGTCTTGAGTGGAGGAATTAGTATCAATAAAGTTTGTTCCGGTCTCGAGAGGTTCTGTAGCTGCCGTATCTGATGCAGATAGATCTGATACCGTATTCGATGTCAAATCAGTCGTCAAGGGTGCCATCTGGGAGACCGCGCTTGATAGGATGCTGGCCACAGAGGAAACCATTGATACGTCGGTGATGGAGCCGGAAGTCTGAATCGGACTAAGAGTCTCGGATTGTATATCTGGGTCTGACGTGATAGATGGTGTATCGGTAGTTTGTGCAAGAATGCCTGTGGGTTTATAGGATTCAATCACTGATGAGCTCCCGGAAGCCAGGTCTGTAGACTCCACAAAGGCGCTCGTAACCTCAGGCTCAGGGTTAATAGTCGAGCTGCCAAGCACGGCTTGAGACAACAAGGAAGAATTCATGATTGCGGAGGAAGTATCGAGAGAGCTGATATCACCAGCGTCAGATGTTTGTGTCGCCAACGGGACAAGACCTGAGCTTGTGATTGATGATAAATCAATTGTCGGAGACGATATCGTCGTGGGCTCTTCAACTTCTTCAGTACTTGCAGTCAATGAAGCAGGAACCTCAGACAGGGCATCGAAGCTAGTCACGGAGGATGGAAAATCGGAAATCTCCAATATGATACTGGTAGGTTGCGACACAGAAACGATAGTACCAACAACCAATGATGGTATAGCAGAGGAAGCGTCTTCAATGACAGAGCTAGTATCGAGGGAGCTAGTCTCGGGAAGATCTGGCGCTGGCGTGATTGAGCTCAGGGGACTAGAGGTGGTACTTGAAGGCAGATCGTTGATCACAGGTGGAGTTGAGGTGGTGTCGAGGGTAGCTTCGATATCCGTGGATGGCGGAGCCGGGCTATCAGACAAAGCATCCGAGCTAGTTGCGACAGATGGTAATCCTGTAGCGTCCGCAGCGTTGCTGGTCGGTAGAGGCCCAAGGTCAACAGTTGAGCTGTCCAGAGACATTGTCGCAGAAGAAACGTCCTGAATGACGGAAATGGTAGACGATGTTTCGACAGGGTCCGCAACATTGCTGGTGGGTAGAGATCCGGGGTTACTAGTCCAAATGTCCACGTATCCTGTAGCCGAAGAAATGTCTTGAATGATGGGAATGGTAGAAGATGATCCGGCAGTGGCCACAATATCGCTAGTAGGCATGAATCCTTGGTCAACACTTGAGCTGGCCACCATTATAACAGAAGAAGCATCTGGAAGGGATGGAGGCAGTTTCAAGATCACTAGCCTCAAGGCTTCCTGGCGCAGTTGTGATTGACGCCAGTGGATCTGAACTAGTGATTGTTGGCACATCGGTGGCCAGTGGCAGTATTGTGAAGGAGTCGGAGGTTGCTTCGACATCCCCAGCGAATGTGGTAGAAGCCTCGGATTGGTCATCTGTGCTAATGGGAAGATCCAAAATATCGGTAGGCTGTGCAAGGATACTGGTCGCAGCAGATGCATCATTGTCAATGGTAGAGCTGCTGAGCAGAGAAGAAACGATATCAGTGGGATCCGTAGATGTGACATCCTGAGTTGGGATTGCAGAGTCAGACACACTAGGATCGAGGGTCGAAGTGGGTAGGCTTTGGCTCTCTGAGGGAAGAAGAGTGTTTGGTCCACCCGGTACATCTGGTGCAGATGTTTCGAGGCTTGACGAATCAACAATAGTAGTACTCGCGGCCAAGGACGGAATATCGCTGGATATGGTGATGCCGTTATAATCAAGTGCCGAGCTGATAATTTCGAGCTGCGAAGTAGCGGTAGAGACAATGGAGGACAGAATGTCCGTGGCAATAGCCGAGGATGAAGGAGAATCGGCCAAGATGAGGGAAGTCGCGGTGGACTGGACTTCCGCTAAGTCTGAAGGAATGACCGACTCGGTATCGGAAGAGTCAATTGAAGAAAGTGACAGGCTTGTCGAATCGAGCATGGAAGTCACGGCCGCCATATCTGTGTTGCTACTAAGCGAATCATCGATGACAGAAGTGCTTAAAGATGGTGGTTCGGTCGTGATCGGAGTCGAAACTATACCACTCGAGATCACTATGCTCGGCGCAGCCACATCCGGTCCAAGGCTGCCAATACTAGTGAGTTCCACTGACTGACTCTGATCGGCGCTCAATACCACGGATGTTGGGATCATAGTTCCTGATTGAGCCTCTACAGAAACGAAGGTTGGTACAACCATGTCTGAGGATTCTGTGGGCATGGTGGCCGAGGCGTCAAGAGTGCTAGTCAAGCTATCAAGGGCTTCTGTAAGACTGCTCTCGATATCAGACAAGGCAGTAGGAGTGGATAGACCAGAATCGGTAGGAGCGATCGAGTCAGTCAAAGCAGCAGTGGCACTTAGTGTCATCGTCTCGACCTCGGTTGGCAGCCCACTCAAAATTTCTGGAAGACTAGTTGCCGTCAGTTGGTCAAGACCGGCAGCCGATATAGGAACACTCTCAATGCCGTCAGTTATAGAGAACGAAAGTATGTCTGGTGTGCTGGTTGCTGCGTCGAGGTCAGAGATAACGCCCAGATCGACTGATGTACTGGTCATAAGTGCAGTGATTTCAGTGGGCGCGAATTGTGCCGAAGTAGGCAGATCTGTGTAGAGAGAGCCATCACCAGTCAGAGTTGCTGTTGCTTCGGAGATGGTAGTGGAGGCAGCGCCGACCGCTGTTAGGACTGGCTCTGAGCTCTCGGGTATCACTGTTGGGAGTAATTCATCCGACGTCTCCGAATTCGAATCAATATATATGGTGGTAGAACTTGGTATTGATTCCTCGGCCTGTGATGGATCAGTTGGTATATCAGCTGAGATGAGATCCGTTGGAGGGATGTCTGTTGTTTGAGTTGGTAAATTTGTGGACGATTGGACCGCTGTCAGACTCAGATCAATAGAAGCAGCGCTGGTTGTGACAGCATCCAATATTGAGCTTAAGGGAGCAAGCTCACCCGAAGGGGCATCCAATATGGTTGAGGTAGCGGCCACGTCCAGGCTGATCGAGGTCATGGAGGCAACATCAATGCTAGTTGAAGCGTCCGGCACAACTGGTATGACTGAAGTCGAAAGCGAACTACCAGCATCCAAGGTCGTAGCAGGCTCATCGACCAATGGAGATATGGGACTGTCGCCACTAGCGATGGTCGCCAAACTTTCAAGAGCTTCGGAGATGGTGGCGCTTGGCGTCAGGGTTGCAACACTTTCGGTGGTGATGGTCTCACTCCCCAAGTCTGTGGAGCTTAGCACACTGTCTATTGCGGGAGTCGGTAGTGTCTCGACCATCGAAGATGCAGATGATAGAACGTCTGAGGCAGCCAGGTCGCTTTGAACTGTTTCAGCAACACTGAACTCGATTGAGCTGCTAAGCTCAGCAGTCACTGACGGACTGATGACATTTGGAGCTTCCGAAACGGTGCTACTGGCGCTGGATGTCAGGTCTGAACTGACTGTATCATCTCCGAGGAAGATACCGTCGCTGGTGGAAGGCAATGAAGCTGATATAGTCGTGCCGCTACCAAACAGGTCTGTCGGGATATCAGGATCGAGAGCTGCACTGGTAGCGGCCGCTGCAAGTCCAGTAGCGATAGGATCAATCTGGCTATACGCCGGCTCAGAGATGGCCGGAGCAGTGGTAGAAATCTCAAGATCAGTCACTCCGGCTGTGCTCTCCACGGCACTCAAAAGATCGGTGCTTATAATAGCCTCTAGAGACGGTATCACAGAGAGACCACTAGTTGCGGAAGGGGCCAGATCAGTGGTAGCCATGGACAAATCTGAGATGATTGAAGAGAGGATTTCAGGTGTTGCAGAGTCGAATGGATCAGCCGAGTATGAAGGGATTGGGCCTATCTCAGTTGTTTGTTGCGACAAGTCACTGCTTGAATCCAGAGCTCCGCTGATCAAGCTTGGGACGCTTAAGTCAGTTGGAGTGGGCACGAGAGCGGTTCCCAACTCAGCTACATCGGCCGTAGCAATCGACGATGGAAGTGTATCGTCACTCAGAGTTGCTGGCACAATCGTACTCAGGTTGATTATGTCAGAGATCGATGTGACCTGGGTCAAGCTTCGAGTGATATGTGCAGGTTCGATCCCAGCACTCGTCACAGAAATCTCATCGACAGAAGCAGTGATGCTAGGACCTCCATCTGCGGAAGTGATATATGGCACAGCGTCAGAGATATCTGGGTCCAAAGATACGATAGAAGAGGTAATATCACCATAGTTGTCAATGCCCGAGGTGGCAGCTGCTCCAGCATTTGAGATGACAGATGGAACAATATCAGTGATGACTGGGTCGATTGAAGAAACGATAGGAGAGGCTGCCCCACCAACGCTGTCGATAACGGAGGTGGCTGCCGACCCAGCATCCGCGTCAAACGACACGGAACCAGTGACGATAGGGTCAACGGAAGATACGATAGAAGAGACCAAATCACCAATACTGTCCACGATGGAGGTAGCCGTAACTTCAACCTCTGAGGCGAATGTTGGCATGGATCCGTCGATAATACTGCTTGCTGCAGCGGGAGGTCGGTGGTCAGAGGCAAATTGGCGGTGACTCCGTCGATTATGCTGCTGACCAACTCGGTAGGAAGGGCCTCACTGAAAATGCTGCTTGCGGCCGCAGGAAGATCTGAAACGTCGCCAACAGCACCACTTAAGCTGTCGACAATGGAGGTGGCTGCCGCCCCAGCATTCGTGTCAAAGGACATGACATCAGTGATGACGGGAGCAACCGAAGATACGATAGAAGAGACCAAATAAACAGTGTCGTCCACGAGTGAGGGTAGGAGCGGCCCCAGCATCTGAGGCGATTGTTGGGATAGATCCGTCAATGATGCTGCTTGCTGCGGCGGGGAGGTTTGTGGCTAGAGGAAGATCAGTGATCACTCCGTCGACGATGCTGCTAACAAGTCCAGTAGGCTCACTAGGAAGAACCTTACTGACAATGCTGCTTGCGGCTGCCAAAACATCTGTAACGTCGCTAAGAGTGCTAGAAGCTGCCGCAGGAAGACCTGGGTCCTCAGTGACTGCGATACTGGAGACTATGCCGGAGAGATCATCCACAAACGTGCTTGTTGGCAGATCTTGAGACTGTAATGAGGTCAAGGCCGCGAGCAAACTGTCAAGACTTGAATCAGGTAGCGCTGTAGTAAGTTCCTCGGCTATGGAACTAACAGCAGACACGTCTTGAATATACGTGCTTGTTGGCAAAACTTGAGACTCCAATGAAGTCAAAGTCGCGAGCAAAGTGTCAACACTTGAACCAGGCAACGTTGTAGTGAGCTCGTCGACTGTAGTAGTAATATCTGGGACCTGGGGATTCACGCTGACTGATGTCGGAATCAATACAGAAGTCTCACTATGATCCGTATAGAGATCTGGCATAGTCGTTGTCATTTCCAGCGATGCATCAGAAGCTATAGCTCCGATTATTTGAATGTCGGGGCTAGGTAGAACAAGTCCTGAGATGCTTGAGGACACAAAGTCTGTACTGGGTATCGATTCAGTCGGAACAGCGCTCAATTCAGTAATTAAAGACGCGGACGCTTGTTCCTCTCCCAACAAGATGGATAACCCAACTGCGGTTTGTGAAGGCTGCGCAAAACCGACTGTCTGAGCATCGGGTACAATGCTAGACAGCAGAGAATCGAGAGCTCCAAGGGAAGTTGTGGTAAGGGTAGCCTGCGTTTCAACCGCAGGCAAAGCGACTCCAGTATCTGAAGCTACTGTTTCTGGATCGAAAGGCAGAATATCAGTGGCTGTGGTGGGTAAAGCTCCAGCATTCATAGCATACGAGCCAGATGCAGCGGCCTCCGTAGAAAGCACTTGAGTGGGCAAATCACTAAACTCGAACGTGTTCGAAGTTACGACATCGCTCGTGATACTTCCGATATCAGGGGTTGGTGAGCTATCATGGGAGAGTATCTCTGTTGTGGAAGGTAAAACAATATTCGTTACTGAAGCTGGAAGATCATCCGGAATCACGTAGCTCTCTGCTGAGCCATCGATAAAACTCGTCTGAACTGCATCAAGAGAAGTCTCCGAAGGCAAAATTATCGACGAGGTTTCTGCGCTCAGCAAGTTCGAAGCGGGTCCAATGAGAGAAACACTCGGTGATTCAATTCCCTGCGATGCACTAGCTTCGCTGACCGACAGCTGATCGGACAAAGAGATAATCGGGGTTGGTGCCGTCGTCGTGACCACCTCGACGTCACCAGAGTTGACAAGAACGCCACTGGTAGGGACCGCAAAATTCAGCGAGGCGACAGATGTCGGGGCAGAACTGACGTCTTCATCCAGGACCGTACTTGTAGGTACCAGAACGGAATTTGCCAGATTTGGTTCAAGTGCAACGACGGAGGGTGATACTACGCTATATGTAGCGGCATCCGAGCTGGCCTCAACTCCAGTCAAGGCGGACTGTGAAAGCAGAGACGTAGGTTCGGATGGGGCGATAGTCGCTGTTATCTCAGTCGCTGCAGACACGATGCTGTCAGAAGCCAGAAGTTGACTCGAGGAAGGTTCCAGAATCGCAGAGATGGTCTGCTGAAGAGCTGAGCTGATGGTCGATGCTATCGAGAAATCCTCGCCAGTTGTGCTTGAGCCACCGTTGCTGCTGCCATCAACGACGTTGGTTGAGGTAGCTTGAGCTTGGGTTGGTTCAAGATTGCTAGACGTATCCGTACCAGTAGAGGTTGATTGTGTCTCCGAACTGAAAGTCGTGGTGACCAGAGCGATATCTGAGGCCGACGCAGCTGGTTCAGAAGATTGGGTCAATGTAGCCTCGCTTGATGTCGCGATAGTGTTAGAGACCTCGGGCATTGAAGTGTACGGCGAAAATGTGACACTTTCGTCGTTATTGGGCTGATTCGAGTGACTTGCAGAGCCATCAACGGAAGTTGTCTCTTGCACGTAACTGCTACTCGTAGTTATCGCCAGTGCCGTGCTATCCATGCTGCTTGTCGCCTCTGTAAGACGTGCAGTGGATTCAATGCTGGTTTGCTGAGCTGAGACTTGGTCAGGCTGAGTATTGCTACTAGAAGACACAAGACTCGAAAGTTGACCTATGACTTGTGTAGCGATTGTTGACGCTGAATTGACGTTGTATGAATGAGTGCTGGAGAGCACATCAAGAGTCAAAGTGGATCCAGTGTACGTAGAGCTCTCACTTGTACCTCCACTCGCAGCAGAGTCCTGGACAGCGGCGGGTCGTGATGATGGATCAGGAAAATAGCTGGTCAAAGGAGAGCCTCCGGAGGTAATACTGGCGTCGATGGAGTTGAGCGGCGGACTGGACTGAGAAGTGTTAACCGAGGGCTCTGCTGACTGCACCATAGTTGGCAATGGATCAGCGATGCTTGCGGATGCTATACTGCTGGCTGAAGGTTCGATCGGCAGCGTGGGTTGGTCGAATCCACTTGGAGTGCTCTCAGTGGACGAACCGTCATTCGTCGTTTGTACAACCGTGCTAGAGGCGCTTGCAAATATATTGCTACTGGATATCAAGATATTTATCGTATGTGAGGCACTCTCGGCCGCCGTCAAGAATGAGCTTGCAATCAGCTCTCCAGAACTCGTAGGCAGCTCGATACCGATGCTTGCGGATCTCCTTGTTGACGAAGAGGCTGTAGGTTGTACATTGGGTACGATGATTGAGATACTAGTCGATCGAGTTGGATCGATAACGGGAAGTCCTGTTAATGTAGTCTGTGAACTGAACCCAGACGTTGTGCTTGCTGAGACCGCGTTGCTCGAAGATGAAAAACTTTCAAAGGAAGCCAATACTGAACTGGATGACGTTATGTGGGAGTGATTTACTGCGTCTGCAGTTGCAGCGGTATTGGCTATCGTGGCCGACTCATCCAAAGTCCCTGCGAAGCTGGCACTGTTAGATGTCGTGTGTCCAAGCATGGAAATGACACCGGTGGGTAGAAGGAAGCTGATCACAGAATCTGACCGGGACGTTGGAGTGGTTCCGATGGCGTTCCCAAGTGATGCAAGTGTATTGGTGGCTGTGCTTGTAGCCGAGAGATCTTCATCGCTCAAACTTGAGTCGGAAGAGATAGCAGAACTCTGCGTACGTGTGGCTATGGACGATGATGTAGATTCTGTAATGGTTCCGCTGACTTGTGTACCACTACGGGCGAAGGAAGAAAACAGAGGCTGTAAAGAGGTGGTTGAGTTCTCCGGCGCAGCGGCATTCTTAGATCCCGGGAAGGCATTCGCTGTTGACCGTAATGGGCCGGAAGTTACTGAAGTTCTGGGGGCCGAAGTGATCTGTGAGTTTGAAAATTGGCTCGTACCAATATCTGTAGTGATGCTCGAACTTGATACAGTCCCTCGATTTGGTTGGGAGGATGCTACTAACACAGATGACTGTTCCCCAAGATTGCCAGACCCAAGCACCCAGGGGAGGAGACCCATGGGTAGAACTGACTCCTGAAGAAGCCTGTGAAACTTGACTAGAAGCTGTTGATCTACTCAACAAGCTGCCAAGCGCAGGCAGCTGACCGCGAATAGCTGAGATTTCGGTAGACGACGATCTGCTTGATCCTGGTAGAATAGTAGAAGTAGATATCAACGACGTCGTGGGAACTGATAAGGTACTCAGCTTCGATGGAAGCTGACCTCGATGCGGGTTATTGAGATCAGACTTGATCGCTATATTCCCTCCTGCAACCGAGGATAACGACAGCGAACTATGACTTGTGGCAGATGATGTAAATATCTGCTTCGAAGAGATTTGCGCTGATGACGATGAAGTTTGGACAGAAACCTCTGGCGGGCAGGACAACATGCCTCGACATCTTCGCGAGCTGGTGGTGGTTGTTGGCTTCGAGGAAGTACTCTGAGAGGTCGGATGACCAATCGAGACCGAGACTGCCGATGAAAATTTGCCTGTACTAGAACTCAAAAGGTGCTGAGTGGTCGAACTTTTAGGGGGAGAACCACGGACAGCACCCGAAGCTTTGGTAGATACAGAAGAAGATCCAAGGACAGATCCTCGAACAGCATTTGAGGCTTTGGAAGATGTCGAAGCGATCTTTTGCGAACTTGACTTGATGGTAGGCTGTGAAGATACACGAGACGTAGAGATGGTAGTGCTCGTGGATCTACTTAATACACTAGGTACGTTACCCTTTGTTGAGACCCGAGATATACTGGAAGGGCTCTCCTGCCCGAAGCCCGCCTCAGTCGTTGGCCTCCCAGAGCTGAGCAACTCTTGAGATATGGAACTGGCAGCCGATCTTGTTTCGCTACCGATACTCCGAGTAGAGCTAGAAGACGTCTTAAGAGAGCCGGAAGCCTTGTTTGTAGAGCTGGACAACTTCTGAGTGGCATTGATGTCTTCTGATACAGAGCTGTCAGGCGGCATGAGAGATATCGTGACTCCCTTCCTTGCGCTACAAGCCGATTGTGTGGCGACCGATGGCTTGACACTGCTCGTGTGTCTACTCGAACTAGAGCTAGTCGCTCTCTGCGTCGAGCTCGAAGCGACAGAACTCGTAAGTTTGGAACCTCGGATGGGCTTGGTGAACCGCGACGAACTTGAGACTCTTTGAGACGAGCTCGCTGTCCTGCTTGAGCTAGCCCTTTGAGCTGATGCTGTTTGTCGCTGAGAATTCGTCGTCCGACTCGACGATTTTGGTAGAGGTGCTCCTCGAATCACAGAAACAGTCTTCCTAGTTGAGCTGGTGCTCTGTGATGATGTTTTGACAATTCTGCCACTGCTAGTCACTCGTGCTGCGCTGCTCTTCTTTGACGAAATCTGGCTCGATGATCTTCGTACCAGAGGTTTTGTTGTGGACAACGCCCGACGCGGGAATGCCATCGTCTTTGAAGTGGCAGACTCGGCAGAAAGAGGTAAAGGAATTCCATCATCGGAAGACCGTTTCTCTGAGTTTTCATGCGCAGAAGAATCTGAAGGCCAGGTATCGTGATTGCCATGCACTCCCTTGTCCGGAGCTTGATTTGTGCTGAAGCCAAAGGCCGCTGGAATGTCCACGTCGGGTAGGAACTTCTTGAATACACCCAGCACGGAGTCTCTCCTATAACCAGAGCCTTGAATGTTTGAGTGCCTGCGAACGGCTGGCTCTGTATGATCGCTTCCTGATTGTGTGGACGTTTCCTGTGTAGCAGCACCAGATAGAGACGACAGGATGAGGCCACCTGATAAGGCTGCACTGTGGAAGCGCATGTCTATTGTACAGCAGCAGTGGCTCTAGAAATTGAGTAAGTAGTAGAGTATCACGTCAGTAATTAAGGAGTCTAGGAACAGATGAATGTGCTTTGTAGAGGCATTGTGACAAGTCGCAGACTTGATTCGAAATAGACGTAAATGTTAGGTATCAACCAACACTACAACCCAGACTCGATGAGCAAGGCGGCGAGTTGCAGATCCTAAGACACCTCAACGGCACCATCAATACTGGGGTAGCATGACTTGTTTTGCAAGCGAGAGGCCATCAACACAGCAACAGACAGAGACCAAAGAATCAAGGGCGGGGCGATCGACATAGAGCAACAACGGCGGCAAGAATCCCTGGGAGCCATCAACCAGAGACAAATCGATAGTCCTTCTTAATTGAGGAGCGCCTCGTTCGTAATCAGTCCCTGAACTGTCAATCAGCTACTTCACTAGAATGGCTATGCATGTTCTGGAAAGTAAAGTGATGGTCTCGATCGGAGGTTGGAGATGTGGTCCGATGATTTCCGACAATTGAGCGGTATAGGGTGGTGGCAGTTGAGTGCTTATGAGGCTCTTAGCAGAAGCGTTAGCCCGACAGGATGTAACCAACGGTGAACCACAAGACATTTGATAGGTTCGAGATATGCAGATGCCGTCATGATATTTGTGGCTGTATCTTGTCCAGGAACTAAACCCACAAGATTCCAAAGTCCTTATATAAATGTCGTTCATCTGCTTTTTTTTGTCGTGAGAATTGTAAGAAGAGTTTCCCGGAACATGCTGCATGCAGGGTCTTCAACTTCCGCTCTACGATACGGGGATGTCTCCAGACTGGTATCTGTGTTTGATAAGTGGATTCGCAGCACATAATTTTCGACCCACAGCGATGGGGACCGAATAGACGAAGTCCTTCTGCTAATGATCAGTACGTGCGTAGTTACAGAGGCAGTGTCTTCTTCGGCAAGAGTCCGATCAGGATCCATCCACATCTCGAACAGCATTACAGTTCTGTGTACCCCAAAACTGATTCCATGATAGGATCTCAGAGGTGGCACATTCTCGTGTTGAACAGCAGTCGTACATGGAGACCATGGACATAGAGACAAGTGGGTTCGCGACGAGCTGAGCCTAAGATCTAGAACTGTAGTTGTTGTGGAGAGGGGGCCAACGGCTTTTGTGCAGCACATGAATAAAGACGTTTTGCAATGGTGAGATTCATAGCGAATCCGCAGATGCTCGGTCATCGTGCTGGACCAAAGATTCGTATGTGGGCCTCGATACACAACATGAAGGCGTGCAACACAATGTGCATCGAGAACCCTCTTCGGTGGTGACACGCCTCGAGACGTCAAAGTTGTCGAACTGAGGGTGAGAGAATGGACAAAGTGGTACAGCAGCTGTCAAAGCTTGGGCCAGCGGCGGTCGGAAGACGGCAGTAACCTAATCAGGCAGGCACAAACATCAACACAACTCCAGTCCCTGATGGAAGCCCAAGCAAGACCCTTTCTTCTATTCTGACAAAGGGACTTTTTTCCTGTCCCTTCTTTTCGCTTCTACAGGCGCCATTTGGGCCATGGCCGCGTGCCGAATTTTACTGGGGCTCAGCCGCGGTTTCTAGAGACCCCCACGACTGATCACCTGCGACAACACATTGCGTCCACGCAGATAGCGTCGGCCAGGACTACAAACGATCTTGCTTGTTTCCCTTTTCACCGGCTCAACTCGGACTCTGTCGCAAACCAACCGAGCGCCACCAGCGCATTTCTTATTGGTCGCTTTCATTCTTGTTATACTGTTTCTTAATCCGCCGAGTCATGTCAGCACCCACGACCTCACTAGAGGCCAAGCTGGTCGTGCTCGGTTCTCAAAACGTGGGCAAGACTTCGCTCGTCCACCGTTTCGTTCATCAGACCTTTCTTCCTCCCAGCACTCCCTCGACCGTTGGCGCCTCCTTCCTTACCACGCGCGTTCACGATCCAGAAACAGACACAGACATACGCCTGCAGATCTGGGATACCGCCGGCCAGGAACGTTTCCGCAGCATCAGCAAGCTGTACTATCGCGGTGCACACGCCGCCGTCTTATGCTATGACATAACGAGCAAGAAGAGCTTCGAAGAGATGGGTGTATGGCTGCGAGAACTGCGCGACAAGGCTGGCTGGGGTGACACTGAGGACTTGATCCTGCACGTCGTAGGTACAAAGAGTGACGTTGTCGCTGAGGATCCTTCCAAACGTGAGGTTCCTTTTGAGCGCTGCATCGGTTATGTCGCAGAGCAGCTCTACCCAGACCAAGTCATTCCTGGTAGTCTTCGTCCATCAAGCGCCATGCACAGCTCCCCTCCCAGCAACAACAATCTTGCTGCCATGGCCTCACCACACAGCAACCGCAGCAGTGGCTTCTGGGGTCAAGAACACATCTGGGACTGCTGCCATGAGATCAGCGCAAAGGATGGCGAGGGCATAGAAGAAATGTTTCGCGTCATCACCCGCAAGCTCGTCGACCAGCATCAGCGCAGACAAGACCAGCAACGTACCATTGAAGCCTCCATGGGACGCACNCCCTTTGCCGAAGGCGGCCCAAGCTACTTTGACCTCCCGAATGGTGGCACAGGCAGCTTCCGTGTCGGCCATGGCGACAAGCGACGCAGCTGGCTAGGCTTCCCCAACACTCCTGGTGCAGTCAGTTATGCATCAGAAACTGGTGAAAGCGAGGACAACACCAACGTCAGAAAGGGTCGCTGTTGTTGATCAACCTTCTCGTCCACCTACCATTACCTGTTCATATCACCCCTCATCCGCCGCAACCTCTATTGACAACGACTCTCTCAGCTCCAACTTTTCAGACATTGTCTATGCTCGGACTCTCAGACGGTATTCCGCTTCTTCCTTTCACATCATTGCACGTTCTTTTGGCATGGCATTTCTTCCAAACTGCATTCATGCATGCACGGCGTTTTCACGAGTCAAACTTTGTACGATATGGCGAACGATCTGGGCATTTCCTTTTGAGTTTCAGTTTTCTTGTTCTTTGGGTTCGTTTTGGGGCATAGCGGCATTTGTTGTTATTGAATCTTTCGGTTTTTGTTCTCTTAACATTGCACGATGACTTCTTTTTATGACAAAGTGGCAATGCATACCCTTCATACGTACCACTCAACTCTCTTTACTTGCTCTGGAGAACGTGCAACCTGTAAGGTGGTTCTCCCGGCGATAAAGAATTTGGTCTAACACTCATCCGACTTACGTATTCTACGTCGTTCTATGCGAAGAGATGATTCCAAGGGCTCGCGTATGCAATCTGATATGACGAGCGCAAAATGTGCTGTAGAAGACCAGAACTGTCCAGAAGCCAAGAATCACGGGTATCATTTCGTGTTGTAGCTGTTCTTGAGTGACAGTGTTTTGAATCGCCTTTGTTCCGCCGCAGGGGCTTTTTATAATGCTTTGCAAGCTCCTTTCTCTTTCATGGTGTTCCACCCATCAACATTTTCGAGTTTCAATCGATCCCACCACCCGCCCTTTCTCAAAGGTAACCACCCAGAACTCCATGCTTTGAAGAATGCCCAAGAACGCCGAATTGTTGTATGCAAAGAGGTATCGTTTGTGAAGAGGATTTAGACACGCTGTCTGATGATGTCGCGCTCGTTGGGGTTGTANNGCTGATGTAACGTGTTAGTGGAATAGCGGTTGGATATGTCGCAGAGTAGTGCATACCGGAGCAGCTTCTCGATCAGGTCGACGTGGGTCATGAGCATACGGCGACAGCAGTAGCGCGTCAGGCCGAGCTTGTCCATAGCGTNCACTGTCACAGCTTGTCAGAAAGGTTGTATAGGTGGTCGCGAGCGAGATCAAACTCACCCATCGGGGATGCCCTCATCCAGCAGAGACATGTAGCGCTCCCAGAGGTCGGCGACAACCTNTGTCGTCTGTCAGCGCATTGCGGGAGAGAGGTGTGGACCGGACTCTCGTTGACTGACCTTGCCACAGGAGAAACAGCGGATGGGGATAATCATTTTGCCGTTCGAATGAAGAAGCTTGTGAGATTTTCGATGAAGGAGCGACTGAATGCGACGGGCGAAGCGGCAATAGTGATGGGTCGAGAGAACAGTAAAGGCCTTGGTCAATGTCGACGACCGCAAAAATCGCCAAGCCTTCTCCGCGCTCAGGAATTTCTGGAGCCGCATGCCGACGAGGGTTCATCAACTTTTTTTCAGCACAAGGAAAGACGCACCAATTTGGAAGTCGCGACAATGTCTGACACGCAATTNAAAAGAAAGCGCTCCCAGCGTGACAAGGCTCCTGCCACCACTTTGCCAAAACGCCAGAAGAGCGACCACCTGGACCAGGACACGGCCACCACCACGCCCAAGCCCGTCAAGACGCAAACACCAAAGTCTACACCAAAGACGCAGATCATTGATCAACTCACCACTCCCTCCACCAACCTCCCACAAACTGCTGCCTCGGCCGACAAGAATGCGCTACAAGTAGTCACCACTCCAGGTCAAGGAAAGAAGGCGAGGCGAGGTAGAAGAAAGGGAACCGATCGCGTCGCCATCGATCAGGCTCAGGTCGTCGATAAGCCACAAACAAGACTTGACGGCAGGTCGCCATGGTCGCTGTCTAAGCCATTGGGTGGCAGATTTATTCTGCACGATCCAGTCTTTGCCCAGGACGAGAGGTATGCTCAATCTTGCCTACACTCCCAAAACACCGTCTAACCCCTTCCCAGCTGCATCTTTGCGTCCAACGGCCGAGAAGTCGAGGTTCTGTCAATTGCCACATCGCTGGTCGAAAGGAAACTGCCTGGTCCCGACCGCTCTGCCACTGCTTTTGCTGTTTCAACCGCCGATGATGAGGAACTATACATCGCTTCATCCACTGGTCGCGTTCAGCGTTGGAACTGGATCACCGGCACTCCTGTTGAAGACGCTATCAAGTTCGAAGGTGCCATTTCTGCCTTGGCAGTTACACCGTCAGAAGACGCTTCACAAGACACTTTGTACGCCATCTGCTACAACGAGGAGGACTGGAACATCGTCATCGGAGGCCGCACTATCTACACATCCAAGGACTCTTTGAGCCACCTTCGCGTCGAAGGACAATACATCGTCGCTGCTACTTCGACGAAACTGGTCGTTGGCAAACGCGTTTCCTCCGAGGACACTCCTCGCTACGACTTTGTCGAGATCACAGTTTCTTCTGGCGTGACAAGTCTCGAGTGCAGAACTGAAACTAGCGAGTCGAAGAAGGGAAAGACAGAAAACATCTCGGTTGCCGTCGGAAACGTCTCTGGTGAAATCTTCCTCTACGAAAACGTTTATCCCTCAGACAAGAGAGCCGAGTCTTTGACTCCTCGCACCCTTCATTGGCACCGCGAGGCTGTCGCAACTGTCAAATGGTCCAAGGATGGAAACTATCTCATTTCTGGTGGCCGTGAGACCGTTCTCGTGCTCTGGCAATTGTTGACTGGCAAGAAGCAGTTCCTTCCTCACTTGACTGCCGAGATTGAGCGTCTTACTGTTTCCCCGAACGGCACATCATATGCCATCCAACTCGCTGATAACTCGGTCATGGTTCTTTCTACCACTGAGCTCAAGCCCACTGCAAATTTCGCTGGACTGCAGGCTCAATCATGCATTGACAAGAACACTTCCGCTCAGGCCGACACCGAGAAGAGTTTCTTGCGCGCTGCTGCCGCAACCTTGAATCCTTTGTCTCCTGACCAACTTCTGCTATCTGTACCTTCTTCTACCAACGAGTCCTCTCAGCACACCTCTTCTGCCGCTCCCCGACCTTTCCTCCAAACTTACGATATTTCCAACGACCGTCACATCTCCCGCCAGGCTTTGACTCGCAACATGGTTACTGATTACAACAAGGGTCCCGAAGGTAACCGTATCAAGGTCCCCGACGTTGCTTTCCTCCAGGTCAGCCACGATGGACAATGGCTTGCCACAGCCGAGCACTGGTCACCTCCTTATCCCGATGTTGAGTACCTGGCCGCTGACAAGTCCTCCAACGATGAACAACGTCTTTTCCGTCGTGAAGTCTATCTCAAGATCTGGCGCTGGGATTCTGAACGCAACCTCTGGGCTCTGGAGACAAGAATCGATAGCCCTCATCAGCTGGGCGAAGATTCTCAGCCTGGTCGTGTCCTCAATCTCGTTGCCGACCCCGTCGAGGTTGGTTTCGCAAGTGTAGGCGAGGATAGCTGTGTCCGCATCTGGAAGCCCAAGACTCGCCTTCGCAACGGTATTGTCGTTCGTGGCAGCAAGGCAGAAGGTCTCGTTGACTGGTCATGCCGTCACTCGATCTCTCTTGACCGTAGTGTCGAGCTGGCTGAGATCCCGGCTCAATCTCGCCTTCTCCCTCCTCCCAAGGGCGCTGCACTGGCATACTCTGAAGACGGTTCTGCCATTGCTGTGTCTCAAGCTTTCGAGCACGTCACCGAAACTCCTACTGTGCATTTTATTAACACAACCGATGGAGCTACTGAGCAAGCACGCTCTGGCTTCTTCACTGGCACTGTCCGTGCCCTCGCCTTCCTCGACCGCCACCTCATCGTCCTCGCCGATCAGACCATCGCAGTCTGGGATATCGTGGATGAAGTACAACTTTACTGCATCAATCTTGAACGTGCCGCAAGATTCGGCACATCTATTCTCACCACAAACTCCGACGACAAGACATTTGCTGTGTCAGTGAAAACAAAGGGCGGTGCTTCTCGTGTGCAAATATTCAGCCCCTCGAGCTCTGCTCCTCAGTTCAACCAATCATTGCCATATCCGGCCTCGGCTGTATTAGCCGCTAAGGGCAGGAGAGGCTACAAGGTCTTGACAACTGCCGCCGAGGTCTTCACTCTTGTCCCTCGTGCTGCTGCTCCCTCCCTCAGTGGTGTACGTACACGTCGTGGCAAGCGCTCTGGTGGCGCCGCCCCTTCGACCATCGCCACATCCGCTGCAGCCGTCTCAGCTCCTGCTCCTGAACTACCAGAGGACATGGAGATGGCAGAGGCACAGCCAGCTGATGTGTATCTTCTCGAGAATGACGAAGAAGCTGACAAGCCTGTCGTCAGACCTGAGCAATTGGCTCAAGTGTTCGACAGAGACAACATTGCGCTTATGCCTGTCAGCGAGATGTTCAATGCTGTGGTGGGATTGTTTGCAAGGAAACCTAGAGCTGTGCCTGTTTCTGCTGCTGCATAGATGTCCCTAGTTCATGAACATGTTGACTCGGGCTGTGAATAGAGTTTCATCCAATAGAATACCCCATGTGTTATTTTCGCTTGTCTACCGAGTTCCAAATCGTACGCGATGTTGTGACACCTACCAAATCGTATGCTACGTGTAGCATTAGTAAGCATGGGAAACCACATTGGACCTCTCTGATCTTCGAGGAAGCTTCGACATCACGCCGGATCTATAAAAGGTAAAGGACTCTCTAGGCCCTAGGCCCCTGCTATCCTGCCAGATACCGCATACAGCTCTCAAGCTTGTTTATACACTTACGTCCGACCCATTCAAAACACCACAACAGGACAGCCACAGTGACTGTATACCTTTCGCCCGCCTCAGAGCCTGGACGGTCTGCCAGGGCATCTTCGAGGTCAGCGTACCCTCAGGCTGAAGCGTGCTGTCTCGACCTTTCCGCGAACCTCTTCGTTTCTGACTCGCTACAGAATATTGGTCCCGGGATTGATGACGAGGCGAGAGCTCACGGAGTCAGTGACAGGCTCAGGTTCAATCAAATAGGGGACAGCTCAGGTCCCTCGGTGATCGGAAGCGGAGGCTTGACTGGGTCGCTGGTCATCCTCTTCGCGCAATAAGACAAGTATCGACTTCTTGACTATGCTCGTTTGGCCTCTCGTGTTGGAAATAGTGCTCCTGGAGAGAGCTCTCGGATGCTGTACTGAGGTGAATTTCTGGAGTGCTGCGACAGTAATTTCATGTGAGCCCCTCACAGTACTATAGTGGTGCCCTTGCGTGGAGTTCTGGAGTAATGTGGAGGCCACGCTGGTTGAACCCCTGGAGTGCTTTAAGGTTAGGCTGGGCAGGGAAGTAGTCGGCCTCGATCTGCTCGACTGCGCATCTCAAATGCACTCCATCCTCCAGAGAGAGTCCTCCAGGCCTCGCAGTACTTTGTCTCTTACGGCCCTTCTAGTCTCACAGTACCCTGAAGACTAACCTCCATCGAGTCACCTTCTCTGCTAACCACAAGGCGCCTGCCTCTGATTACTTTCTATCGCTGACCATAAGGCTAATGCCTTGGGTTTCTTCTGTTGCTAACCAGCTGGCCTACACTTCTGGTTGTTTATTGTAGCTTACCAGTAGGCTGATGCTTCTGGTCAGTTCTAGTACTTGCTATGGACTCAAACTCTTGGCTTTCCGTCAGCTCTGACACTCCTTTTCGCGACCCGTTGTCTTGTCCCTAGAAGAGTTGAACTTTTCTGTTACTTGCAAGATTCGTGAAGCGCCAGATCACCGTTTCCAAGTTTCATGTTATTTATTCACCTTTATTCATTCTATTACTACTGAGAAGCAGCTGGAACAAAATTGCTGGTCTGGAAAATGGTGTGTCAATGGCTATTGTTTGATGCGAGAGTGCTCCGATTGCAACCTTCCGTAGGTAGTTCTTTTAGATGTTTTTCTTGGGTGCGTTTGTGGGTTGGTTTCTTTGTTGGCATATGTTCGCAGTTTCTGCTTTGCGCTGTCTGGTTTCGATTGTCTACTGTCAAGCGAAAACGGAAACACTGCTGTAAAATCAAAGACGGCTTGAAAGACTGGGAAGTTTGATTCTTGTCTTTTTGAGCTCTGGAGCTCTGTGACACAGCAAAAGTCTTAGAATCTGTCAGAAAGGAAGGCAGCAATCACGACTTCTTTTCTATGTTCAACTACTCTCATGCTTTTGCTTGGTGCCGCTGATTACATAGTCGGCGATCCTCCCGCTTGACTCCTACCTTCTTCCCTCACTCTCTACCGTACTCCAGTTTTCAACAACCCTTCATGGAAAGGGTAAAAAGACTGAGGCGATGGTTTCAACCTCTTTGCCAATCAGAGGTGAGTGGCTTGTCATCAACACGCATTCGGCCACTACTAACAAGATACAGAGGCTGCACCAAGATCAGAGCCTTCCGACACCGAGCATAACCAGACTGTGTCACAGTCTTCCGCCAATGCGTGGGACCCAAGGGCATCTGGAGGTGCTTGGACTCTGGAGCATGATATCACAGACCAATCAGTAAGAGTTTCGTGTTTGAAAATCTCATCTAACTGCTTACTTACATCTGACAGGACCAATCTGTCCCTGGAGGAAAGACTCTTGGTCAAGTGGCTGCCAAACTTGAGGCCCTCAAACAGCGAGTCGACAAGCTTGAACCCAGTTCTTCATCATCTCCTCACTACCTTAGCATGAGTTCTCAGACTCAGGTATGGCAATTGCTCCGGAGCGAGAAAGAGACAGAGTTGACGAGATTCAGAGCGATGCTGAGGATACTATCTCCGCGGCCGAAAATCGAGTAGATGATGGTAATCAACAGCAAACACACACATCGCAGAATAGACTCGACGAGCTGAAGAGTCAACATCATGCTCAGGAGAATGGCTGCCCTGATTGTCTTAATCTGCGCTCACATATCAACAAACTTGAGCAGAAGCTCCGACATCAAGAAAACAGATCCAAGCTTCTCAAAAAGAAGCTGCCGCCAGAGAAAGCCAAGCAAAATACTCCTTTGAGCAGAGACATCGACTCCAAAACCAAATCAACGAATTGGAAACTCGATGGGACAGATGCGGTCCTCATGCAAATTTCCCGCGCCGAATACAAGTGGTACCGTTCTGGCGAGACCGATTGTGAGATCGGAATCATCGACAAAAAGCTAGAGTGTAACGAAGAAGAACTACACGAACAGTATTGCAAAGTCAGCGAGGCTAATGCGCAACTCTACAAGGTTTTGGGTGACCTTGGTAAGGCTGTGGAGGAGAACGAAAGTCTTCGATCTGAGCTTGACACCTTGAAGGTTGCAGTTTCCAAGAACAAGAGATGATGGAGACATGATGTGGTAACGCAGGATGGTGGATGATTAGATCTCGGTGGTATGTAGTGCAGATATGCCCGATGAGGAGTCTATACATAATCATCATACATCTATCTGCCTGCTCACATCACACATCCCATCACGCATCGACCTGGTTTCCTTTCTTACTTCCCCTTATTTTCAACGGGTGCGTGTACTTCATTCAGCATAGTGTCGTAACTGATACTGCACTGCTGTATGTTGAAACAACACCTTGATGTTGATGCCTTCCCGGATCGTGTGAACTGTATTCTTGCGGAGTCTGGTCTCAGAGCCAGCCATGCTATCGTCGTTCGTCCCACCTCGATTTGACAATCAGACCAGAGACATCCACAAGACAAAGTGGCTTCTCAAGACCAAGTGCAACACCATGCCTCGAGATATTTTCGATCTCCAGAAGGTCAAGATCTCTTCTACAGGCAACGCAACTGTCCTGTACAAACAGAATATGCCCAGAGTCTCTTTCACTGCTGCATGTGCTTGATGAAACATTGAGTGAAGCATTCGTGGCTCGTCCCATGAACCATCTGGAAGGTGCAGAACCGAGGTCAGTGCCCCTGAATCAGTAACTACCATCTCCACAACCGCCAATTGAGCAAATAAACCCATGTCGTACTTCAATTATTTCAGTAAGTAGGAAATCCATCAGAGACCAAGCTCGAAAGCCGGGAGGAAACTGACCTGGTTCCCTTCGTTATCGGCCTTAATGGCAATCATTTAAGGTTTCGTATCAACATCTATGTATGCGTGAGCAGATCCTAAGTGGCGTCGGAGGTCACTGACTTGATGGAAGGCCGTGGAATGCTCACAGCCAGTAATTAGACATTGCGTTGCCATTATATTTGGACAGATGATCGTTGTAGCCGCGCTCGCTGGTGAAAAGTTGAGTGGGACGACAGCCACTCGCATGTCTTGGGGTCGGCCCCTTAACGATGAATAATGTACCACTCCATCAAACACTAAATACATGGAGTTGTCAGGACGCAGATAGCATCTGACGGTAGACAGCTTACAGGAGATCATCAAGTTTTGATCTTGATTGAGTCAACTCTCCTATTCATCCTCGTCAAAATCTTCATCATCAATCTCATCCTCGTCGTCTTCATCACCATCCTCATCATTCACCATCTCAACCTCCCAACTCCCATCCTCCGCCCTATCCTCTCTTTCCCTCTGCCTCCTTTCCGCTCTTCCCTCTTTTCTAACTTTAAGACTACATCGTCCCATACTTCCTTTGCCCTCAAACCCATCAAAGTCCAACGTCCAATCCAGCGGCAATTTCGCCTTTGCACCATCACTCCGAAACGGCACTGCTTCTGCATCTTCAGAAACCCAACTCCAACCTTGTTTCAATATCACATGTGTAGTGATGACAAAATACCCCCATCCCTTACGTCTGATCTCAAACGGCGGTTGTGAGAGCGAGATATGCGGAGGTCGAAAAGTAGGATGCAGTAAGATTTCCACAGAGGAAATGATATCTGTACGTGAAGGGCGAACGAAAANATTCCATTGGTGCATGTTGTGCGAGGATTCCGGGGTTGGAGAGATGAGTTTGTGCGTGTTGCCGATACAAAGCGTTAGTGTTTCTATTTTGCCAGTGTTGGGATCTTCCTCTGTTGTTTCCTCGATTTCTCGAGATGCATAGGTAGCAGGATATTTTGCAGATAGCTGGGTTGCGAGAGCTGGATTTGGGGTTGCAGAGGTTGGTGTGCGGCACATGGGACATCTGGCCTCTGTGTCCGCGCCTTGAAACATTGAAGGCGAGGATGAAGGAGCGAGAATGGTCATTTGAGAGGTCATGGATACATCTGCCCAGTGCGCCATACATGTCGAACAGAGTGTATGGTTGCATCTCGTTGTTACAGGATTGTAAAGAAGCAAATGGCATACTGGGCAGAGATCGTCATCGTTCACTTCCTCGTCGTTGGTGGTGTCGTTATAAGCAGGTTCGGCGTGTCTGTTTTCTTCACGCGCTCGCCGTGACTCTGTTGCCGTATCCTGTGGTTCTGATGTGTTTGATCCTTCGCGTCGAGGTGACATTGAGCGGGATTCTCGTTGGCGCATGCCGTCAACTCAACTGGATCTCTGATGTGTGCAAGGTTTCCAAGTAGCACGGCTGAGACGAGAGTTGACAGTCCTTGGGTGAAGAATCCCGGATTTCGCACAAATCTAAGCTTGTATGGTCCTTGATGAGCTTAGGAACAATTGAACTCTTGATTGGGGTATTATTGACAGAGGTTTGATGTTCGAGAACCGGCGAAAAGCTGCGAGACAAGTTTGTTGGCAACTGCTTGTTCATGAGTGATGGCTTCGTGTGACCATCGTGCTCATCGGACGTTCTTGGACTGTGGCAAGCTGTTGGGAACGTGGCTGAGCGAAGCTGACAGGGTTGCCCCCTTACCAAGCTTTTAAATAAACATCGACGAAATATCTCAATCACCCAGAGGTGTATTACTTGAATAACTCTTTCAGATAATCTTGATTATACTAGTTATGGTCCATGATATTAAGCATGTATATATTTGGCGTCGCGCGACGCTTTGGGTGATTCTATGCTCCAAACTAGAACCTGCTTAAATACTGAGCTTCACACCGAAGGCATAGACTCTTTAAATCAAGTCGGAAATTGTCATCAAGAAAAGCAACAGAGCTTGAGAGAATGCTTTGTATGTTGCTAGTGTTGTTACAGTACCCATATCACTTGCCAAGCAAGGTTCGTAATTACCTGACTTCCCAGCATAGTATAATGCTCCCAACAGGTTGCCCTAATCTCATTCTCAAAACTGCGTGTTGTCCTCTTGGACCCGGTGTACTTGAGGCGTCGTGATTCTCATTTCAAAGAAAGTTTTAGTAAGGCACAGTCAAAGCAGCCTGGATGTAGGTCTGCGTGCATCCATCATCTGTGCCCTTCCACTCAATNNCTGTGTCATCGTCAGTACATATCTCCCCAGAAATCTTTAACACAAGCAAACTTACAACACTCTGACCCAACTCCTCCACGCAGATGGTCCATCCAGTTGTACTTCCATTCACACCAAGCAGATATCCCTCCTCGAGAGTCAAATCTCCAGCTCCTTCGTATTCAGCTCTGAATTGCAACTCCGAGCCGGTGTGGACTTCAGTGCTGTTGTAGATGTAGTCGCCGATGCCGTGGGGTCCCTTTCCGGGTGTGTGCAATACTCCATCCGAAAGTGTGAATTGGGGAACCCTGCCATAGCCGGGACCGATGAGGCGGAGCAGGTTGTTGGGTTGGTAGTAGGGATCGAAGAGGGTAGTCAAAGAGACGTTTGGGAGGCGAGAAGTGTTTTGAGAGTAGGTTGGTGAGTCGGTTGTTAGGAGATAGAATGGTTGCGTGCTGTTGATGGGTGCGCGTTTGACGATAGGGGTAGCAGTCACCACAGCGGCCAGTGAGGCGGCGAGAGCGAAGATGGAGAAGCGCATGTTGTAGTAGATATTCAAGGTTACTGCTGAGAATGTTCTGTTCTTGATGTCTGAAAAGGATTTGATTGTAATGGAAAGGTGTGTTTAGGGAAGAGTGAAGAGAGAAGGAGGATTGGCAAGAAAGACCTGTTGTTATATTCATGCACCTACCCAGCATGCCTTCTCAACCATGATCAACATGACGAATGTGTCGCAAGCACTTTTGTCAGTTGCTCTGAAACGTCTAGCAAAAACGTGTGCCTGGTGTGCGTTCTGTGCTGCACTGCATCATCCCGCATTGCACATCACGACCAGCATCTCAAAATAGATGCCGAGGGTCGTACAGCTACACAGCCTTCTCTAGCATACACACCACATGATAGCTATGACTGCCTGGTCGAGATCATAACATAGTCGCAGCCATAGCGAATCATCCGCAGATGTTGTGTTGTCTCAGTAATTAGTGGACGTGAGAGAAGGGCAAGAAGGTGCAGGCACAAGATCTGCATCACCCGCGGCACTGGCTGCCGTCGCCTATCCCAGGAACGGGAAGTGATCAGCTCCACGCTGGCAACCCCTGTGAATCTGTGGTTGAGAATGCTCGGTCAAGATCAGGAAAGCAAACAGGGGCATCCTTGTCCAACATGATTTTTGTAATACACACTGGCTCCAGGCAAAACGACTGGAAACAGACATTGGATTTGAGCGGTGTGATAAATTATTATAGGAGAAAAAAGAATGGTAACTTGAATTTTTCGATCTGTACAAGCTCGTGATTAGGCAAAGGGAGAAGAAAGGCGAGAACTAGTTGTTCTACAGGAAGTCAATGCCAACGCCGAACTGAACACCCTTTCTGCCTTCCTCGCCCTTACGGAGGACCAATGGCAGCGAGAAGTTCAATTCGAATCGTGCGACGGGGTGTGCGTAGACAAGACCAACACCAGCGGCACAGCTAGGCAGACCATTGGAGAGTTCTTGGAAAGCATTCTTCACGCTTTGTTGAACGTTGTTGGCGCCCTTCTCGCCACTGGCTACGTCTTGGAGTACCAACAAACGTCCACCGTTGATGAAAGTCTGGAATCTAAGAGGAGTGTCCTTGCCCATGCCAGGTACAGGGAAGAGTAGACTGGCACCGCCAGCAGCATAGACGTCACCACCAACTGCATCTTGTCCGTCTCTAGGACCGAGTCCTGCAAGACGGAAACCACGAACGTCAGTAGGGCCACCAAGTTGGAAACGGTCATTGATGCGGGATGCAGCAGGCGCGTCAGAGCCAGACTTGGTCAGAGGGTATAGAAGACCACCACGAAGGCCAGCAGTGAAGGAAATGCCACTATCGCCAGCAACACCAGGGACAGGAACGGGAAGGGCCATTTGCGACTCAGCCGAGTACTTTGCGAAAGCGACGTCTCCAGCAAGAGGGCCAAAGCCAGCAAGTTCGCCAATAGCTTTGAAAAGGAAACCCCTTGTAGGGAGCATGGGAGCATCGCGTGTGTCGTTGATAAATGTGTGAGTGATGCTGGACTTGAAGCTGTCACCAGCGTCTGCGCGAACAGTAGGCGAAGCGTTCTCAGAAAGACCAGTGACTTGTCTCCAGATACCGTTGTAGCCCAGCTCGTGCTTGCTGCCCCATGAGCTCAACCACTTAAGTTTTGTGCTGCCGCCCTTGATGAGTTCCTCGTGGCTTGCCCAGCTCTTGAGAGTAGAGCTTGCGAGACCTCCAATCTCGAAGCGGATATCAGGACTGCTGAGGATGGGGGTGTCGAAGTATGCCGAGTAGGCTGAACGAGTGCGCGTACCGAGCGAAGCGTGGGCGTTCAAGGACTCAGCACCACCGAAGATGTTGCGTAGGACGACATCGAGGAAAGCTGAGCCCTCGGAAGAGCCGGCCTCAGTACCAGTCTTGATGGTGTAGCGAGAGCGCTCGGGAGCGTGGATGAAGACCGAGAGATCGGTAGGAGTAGAGGAAGCATCGGTCTGGTCGGGTTGATCGATGTAGGTCGAGATGGGAGCCTTGAAGATGCCGAAGCGGTTGAGCTTGTCGACAGCGCCGCCAACCTCGCGCAGAGCTTCTTGGAGAGTGTAGGGACCTTCTTGGTTGTGGGAGAGGACGGGGTTGAAGATGCGCTCGAGGAAGCCTCTGCGAGTGTGCTCGGCCTGCAAGACCTGGATGGATGAGATGGTGACGGGCTTGGTCGAGTTCAGGCCGATCAACTCGGATTGACGCTGCTGTGCTTTGGCATACTGCCTGGCGAGACGGTCGTCTATCTCTTGCTGTCTCTTGGGGTCGGCCTGGCCTTGCAACAGAGCGAAGAGCTGCGCGTCGACTTGTCAGTTGATTGCGCAAGTATTGGGCAGAATTGGCAGACTCACATCGCTACCCGAAGAATTGTTCGCCATTGGAGCCGCAACAGAAATCACACCGTCGTCGTCGCAAAGATAGCTATTACCGCCCGCAAACGCGCTGAGGACTTGATACACGACGCACCGTGAAGCTTACGCAGCGCCAGCCGAGCACGTCAACGCAATTGGGCTATGACTTGGCACTGCTACACTTGGAACTATGGAAGATCGAATTGGTGCTAGATACGGTCAAGCATAGCTCTATTCTTCCTTCTGGTCTCCAATTTTGAGACTCGAATCTGCATGAATGCTAAGTTGATGGGCGAGCGATATGCTGTATAAGACAAAGCGGGTGTTCTGAATGAATTCGCGGGAGTCGGCATGCGCTCGGGGCTGACGTCGCTGCCTTCTAGATTCATTAACAGGACAGTCAGTCGTCTTATCTCGTCTACGTACCCTTTGACCCTTCATTCTCTCCTCTGACATTCAAGGCCAAGCCAAAGTCGCCAACCAACCACAGACCAGTCACCGCATATCGCAATCTCCATCTCTCGAATTACATTATGGCTACACGTGCCGCCCACAAGCGCCTGACAAAGGAGTACAAGAACATTACCGAAAACCCTCCACCATACATCACCGCCCACCCCAGCGAGTCAAACATCCTAGAATGGCACTACATTCTCGAAGGCCCCAAGGACACTCCTTACGCCGGCGGCCAGTACTGGGGCACTTTGGTCTTTCCTCCTGATTACCCTTTCGCCCCGCCTGCTATTCGCATGCACACTCCCAGTGGTCGTTTCCAACCCTCCACCCGTCTATGTCTCAGCATCTCCGACTTTCACCCCAAGAGTTTCAATCCCGCCTGGGAGGTCAGCACTATCCTCCTCGGCCTCCAGAGTTTCATGACTAGCGAGGAAATGACTACTGGCTCGCTGTCTGCCTCAGAAGCCGAGCGCATCGTGTTTGCTCAGCGCTCTCGCTGGTGGAACAGCACAGGCGGCGGCTCCTCCAACCGCACCATTCCCGGCGTAGGACAGCAAAGCAGCAACACCCGCGGCTTCGGCGCCATCAGAGCTGGAGACGGCGGCATCAAGTTCAAGGAAGAGTGGCCAGAGCTGGACGAGCAGAATTGGAAGTGGATGGAAGAGCACAAGATTGATCCTCAGACTGGCAAGACTGTGGCACCCCCTCCAATCGCGAATGCTTGCTCGCCAGAGACAAGCGCTCTGCGCAAACGTCCTGTTGGCAGTCATGCTGGCTTGGGTGCTGTGGTTGAAGGTGGCCATGTTGCGCGCGATGCTGGACAGAGCTGGTTGAGACGCAACAGGATGTACCTTGCTCTGGGCCTCATCTTTGGCTACGTTGTCCTGGCTCGTGCCTTGGGAGAGCCTGCTTCATGATCATGCTTCTCTAGACTGCATGACTTGAATTGTGTGTATATTTAGCCTGGGCGTTGGGGTCTGATTGTCAAGTGGAAATTGCATGGACGGGGCGTTCTTGGGTCTGCAGAAAAGCAGCGTATTAGGTAGATGCGCAGTATAAAGCACCACTCAAATCACTTCTTCATATCGACACTTTTGCCATCTTCAGACTCGGATCCAACGAGAGTGCAGGAGAGCAGTAAGAGACAACAGACATCGCATAGCTAAACGTTACAAGACAAGAAGAGAAAAGTACAAGTGGTTTGGGGGTCGTAAAAACTTTTTTGAATGTTTTGGTATCTCTATCTTTCAGAAGACAAGAGCTAAGCGTAATATATTGCAGACCAGGCGATATAGCCGTTCTGCGCGACAGTGCCACATTTCGCCATGAACCATTGTCTTTTGAACATCGAGAGCAGATGCTGACAGAAGTCCGCCAACGATCTACAGACGACGACCACGGCGACCACCCTTTCTGCGGGTAGAGTCGGAGGGAGTGGGGGTAACATCCTCGATACGGCCAATCTTCATGCCGGCACGGGCCAGGGCACGGAGAGCAGACTGGGCACCGGGACCGGGGGTCTTGGTGCCGTTACCTGTGGATCATGTGTTAGATGACTGGATCGTGGAAGGGAAAAGGAAGGTCAAAACATACCACCAGTGGCACGGATCTTGACGTGGAGGGCAGTGATGCCGAGCTCCTTGCAGCGGGTGGCGACGTCTTGGGCAGCCAACATGGCGGCGTAGGGGGAGGACTCGTCACGGTCGGCCTTGACCTTCATACCACCAGTAACACGGGAGATGGTCTCACGGCCGCTGGAAATCACCCAGAATTAGCCTTTGATCTCTCTCATATCTTTTGTATGTGCATCTGTTCCCATTTGCGCTGCTCGGTCTGGTGTCTTGTGTGTTTCTCTTCTCTTCCCAAAATCTTTCTTCTTTCTGTCCGTGGTCTTGTGCTCGGCGCATATATCGAGCAGCTACCAACTGGCCGAGAGAAGTCGCAATGGTCCGAGAAGAGAAGCGCCCAAGTCCGTCGGAGCAAGCGCATTGAGGGCAGATGCGGCAAGGGGAGCACCTACGAAAGATCGGTAACGTGGACGAAGGTGTCGTTGAAGGAAGCGAAGATGCGAGCAACGCCGAAAACGAGCTCACCCTCACGGGTCTGAGGGCCCAACTGGACGTTCTCCTGGGCGCGAGCGGGCTTAGCCTTGGGTGCCATTGTTGCTGATGTTAGTGGTGATGGTCGAAACTGCACTGGGACGAACAAGAGAGGAATCTATCTGGCGCCGCGACGCAGAATTTGGGCCGTGGGTCTGCCAAGCAAAGCGAAGCACCAGCACGGAAAAAGCCGGTCAAAGCTTGCGGAGTCGCAGCTTCCTCTCTATTTATTTTCTTGCGACGCTGCAGCTTCTGTTTTCTTCCCATCACTTCACGCCTTCTCGACATTTGCGACATCAATTGCATCTTCAGTGCGCGCACAAGAACCGCTTAATATTCAAGAGCTGGACAGCATCTCACAGTTGACACAATCCGACCATCGCAAATATGGGTGAAGCAGTGGTGGGCTTGATTGGCATGGGCGACATGGGAAAGATGTACGCTCGCCGCCTTAGTGAGGCCGGATGGAGGTATGCTTTTGCGCGCAATATCACGCTTCTCGTGTGACTTTTGACTATGGTACGTTTCTCCTCTTCCTTCCCTCCTTCACATCCATCTACCCCCGCGTTGCAATGATGACTTGAGTGCATTTGGCTCGAGTATGGCTGTTGGACACCCTGTCACCGTTCCGGTGGCAGGATCTGGCAGTCGTCAATGATGTAAAATCTCAGCTACCTTATAATTTTTGTCTGAAACGCTTCACACATCCACTGTTCTTCACACACTTGAGATATCATCTGCAAGACAGCCGCTGACTTTGGATCAATAGTTTCTTTTCGCAATCCGTGACAACCCTGTCAGACACAGACTGACATCCTACTCTTGCAGAGTACACGCCTGTGACCTTCCAGACAAGTATGATCTGTTGGTTGAAGAATTCAAGGACAGCGTACGAAATATACTGTATATAGCCCGTGTAATACACAACATCTTGCTGAGGCTTTCAGCANNGGAAAACGTAACGGTTTTCAAGAACGGCCACCACGTCTCGCGTAGCAGTGACTATATCATCTACTCTGTTGAAGCAAAGAACATTGACGCTGTTGTCGCCGCCTATGGCCCGTGTCTGTTACCTCTGTTACACTCCCACTCATGCCTGTCATTCATACTGACATGTCTGGCCTACAGCNNTACCAAGATGGGCGCCATTGTCGGCGGCCAAACCTCCTGTAAAGCTCCAGAGATGGCGGCGTTCGAGAAACACCTCCCCTCCGACGTCGAGATCGTCTCTTGTCACTCCCTCCACGGTCCCGGCGTGAATCCCAAAGGTCAACCTCTGGTCCTAATCCAACACCGCGCCTCAGATGCCAGCTACAATCTCGTCTCCAAGATTCTATCTTGCTTTGAGAGCAAGCATGTCAAACTCACAGCCGAAGCCCACGACCGCATTACTGCAGATACACAAGCCGTCACCCATGCCGCATTCCTATCCATGGGTACCGCATGGGCAGCCAACAACCAATTTCCCTGGGAAATGCCACGCTATGTTGGCGGCATTGAGAACGTAAAGATCAACATCACCCTACGCATTTACGCCAACAAATGGCACGTGTACGCCGGTCTAGCAATCTTGAACCCAGCTGCCAAACGCCAGATCAAGCAATACGCTGAATCTGTTACCGAGCTGTTCAAACTGATGCTAGGAGGCCACAAGCAAGAGTTGAGAGAGCGCATTGAATGTGCCCGTAAAGCTGTGTTTGGCAATGCCGATGGTAGCAAAGGACATGAATTGCTATTGCAAGACGACCTGCTTGATCAATTCAGTCTAGGCGAGAAACCTGCTGCTAGCGAGCGTGTCAAGAACAACCACTTGAGTTTGCTAGCGATGGTGGATTGTTGGTGGAAGCTGGGGATTGTGCCTTATGACCATATGATTTGCTCGACACCGGTAAGCAAGAACGAGGAGCAGTATAAAGGAGAAGAACGATACTGATGACTTGAATAGCTCTTCCGTCTTTGGCTGGGAATCACAGAATACCTCTTCCGCAACGAAGAGTTGTTGGACGAAGTCATCGACACCGCAATCAACGACAACACCTTCCGTCGCGATGATCTCGAATTCACGTTCGCCGCCAGAGTAAGCGACTTCTTTTCCTTCTCAGCATGTTTCCTTGCCTTGCCTTCCACTTGTCATCCCAATCTCTCCTTTCTCGATACCTACGCTTTGTACTTACATAATCTTCGCAAATAGGACTGGTCCGAACGTGTCTCCTTCGGTAACATGGACGGTTACCGCAGCAAATTCGAAAAGATCCAAGCTTACTTTGCTCCTCGCTTCCCCGAAGCCACTCGCGTGGGCAACGAGATGATCAAGACTATTGAGGAGAGCCTTAGACAGAGAAAGGGCGATGGGGACAACTGAGAGAATCTCGAAGAAAGGCACTGAAAGGAAAGCATGAGCAGAGCAATAGGACGAGGATGCAGAGATGAAGGTCATGGTTCCATTTTTTTGCTTGCATTTTTATCCTCACGCGGTTTTTGTAGACAGGTCAGCTCTTCTATGCAAGCACTGAGGAAGTTGACAAAAGAGCAAGCATGCAGAATGAGAAAACGGAACGTCTTTTCGATAAGGTCATACATATTCATAATTTTACCTGAACCAAGACCCTGATCTTAAAGCTGGGTAGGGTATTTGGTGGTCTCGATCTTCTCAGGGTAGATCATGTCGTTCTGCTTGCGCACTTCATCCATGACTTCCATGATAACGATACTTTCCTGCAAGCCCTCGTACTTGCCCTCTTTTCTGCCCTCCTTGATGGCAAACGCACACTCGTCAGCCTCCCAGAACATGCCATGGCCCTCCCCNNCTTCGGGGTTCTTGTCACCACCGAAGCCGTTGTAGAAGCCGGAGCCCTTGCCAGGGCCGGGTTGAACGAACTCCTTCTCTTCTACAGTGCCGTCGGAGAGAACGAGCTTGGTCTTTGTGGGACGGAAGGCAGGGTGGAAGACTTGAACTTCGCCCTTGTCGCCTTGGACGCGGATGGCTGGACCAGCGCTGCCTTTGCCATCTGGGTCGGNGGTTGTGCGCATAGCAGTGGTGGCAATGCCGTGAGCGTCACCACCGAGCTCTTGAGAGCGAGGGAATGTGAGGAGCATTGTGGTCATCTCGTCGGCGCCAGTGGGGTACTTCTTGAGCGAAGAGACAACAGTGGGAGCCTGACGTGCGGATTCGGGCTGAGTGTGGTAGAGGGTTTGGAAGACCCAGGTCAAGGCGTAGATACCGAGATCGAGGAGGGCACCTCCGGCCAAGTCGGGGTTGACCATGCGGTGCGAGTTGTCGAAGGCCTCCTCAGGCTGAGCGCCAATGGAGAGATCGGCGAAGGTACGCTGGACTTTGCCAANTCTGCGCATGTCAGTGGTGTTTCAAGACAGAGAATTTGATGTGCGTACTTTGCCCGAAGTAATAATGTCGCGAACGTATATGGACAGAGGGAAGTATCTTGTCCACACAGCCTCCATCAAGAACAAGTTCTTCTCCTTTGCCTTTTCCGCCAGCTTCTTCGCCTGAGCAGCATTGACAGTAAATGCCTTCTCGCAGAGAACGTTCTTTCCAGCCTCGAGACAGAGCATGGCATTCTGGTAGTGATGCGAGTGAGGTGTGGCGACATAGATGATATCGACATTCTTGTCGGCAACCAGCTCTTCGTATGATCCATATGCCTTTGCCGAAGATGAAGCGCCAACCTTCTTCAGGAACTCGCCAGCGCGGTCAGCACTACTGGAGCTGGCTGCGGCAACGATCTCATGTTGGATTTCCTTAACGTTACGAGTTTCAGGGTTGACAGTCAGGTCTCTCGAGAAGCTNNCTATGAAACATGTCAGTCTTGCCAATGGTCAATGCAACTCCGTCCTACGCACCTCGGCAATGCCTCCAGTGGCAAGAATACCCCAGCGTAGTGTGAACTTGGACATGTTTGCGATGTGGTTCTGCGATAGTTTTGGAAGACGCAAGAAGGCAAACTGCTGAATGAGCTGTGAAGCTGACGGTCTTGATATACTTAGGATGATGTAACAGATGGCGGGGCAGAATGCCGTGCCCCACTCTCTATTTAGCCATCGATCTGTTCGGTGAGAACTCCATCACCCATACCATAGCAATTATTGGTCGTGCTGCAACCACTTCAAGGTTGTCAAATAATATGATCGACCCTGGGACGGCAGGTTCTTCAACCTTAGTCGCCATGGTTAAATCAGTTTACGCGTCGCAAACTTTGGTGGGTGAAAATGGTAAATAAGCGGGAAACAATCGAAGAAACTCCAGAACGAAGCAAATGGTGTTGGTAACTTGATCTCTTCTGTGGTAAAATCAAGTCCGAACAAAATACTAAAAAGGGGGGAAGAGAGGCAACGAGGACTTTACAATGCTTGCACTCAACTCGTTCTGTCCAGGCGATCTATGTCGCTATCGTTCTTCTAGATCCGACAAAGACGAACCACGTGTTGAGCTACTCTGATCCTCACGCTCCAACTATTTCTCGGCGAAGGTCTTGTTGCGAGACCCTAAGAACCTGTCAGCTTGGCATTAGTGGCAGTGTGGTGGGAGCAGAATGGCATGGCAGTCGGATGCCAACATCGCCGAGTGCATTAGGTCTGCGGAGACCCCGGAATGACTTCTTGTTCTAGTGATGTACCGGTATCCGAAGACGCGTATGCAGTGATGTATAGTACAATAATCGCATGTCAAATGATTTATGATCAGTGAGATAGGATGCACCGGAGTGGTACGACGACTCCAGATCTAGGACTCGAAGACATCGCACAAAGAACATGTTCGATTGGTGTGGTGCCTTTTCAAAATCTTGCACTGCCCAAATCAGCATAGCCATCAAGGCAGAATGCTCGCAAGAGACGGCCAAATAGGGCGGCTGGGAGGATTTGCTCGGGCAAATAGGGCAGATACAGCGCGCGAAACAGTTACAGAGCTGAAAATGCCGTTCGTATCTCGTTCCTACTCGTACCATATCCATTTCCCCGCATCGCTCGGCGACAATTGGCCGATAAGACAATCGTCGGCTTCCATCGCGATACAGACGGCTTCCAACGACTTGCTTCAATTCGCTCAAATCTGAGACTCGCGTCGTTGCTACATGGTCGATGACCGCGGACGTGGCGGAGATAGTATATTCCACATCACAAAGAACCTCTAGTCGCGTCATCGAGTCTTGTCATCCTCGGCGACCCATCCGGAGCAACTGGGCGCACGCGCTGGGCATGCAGGATCGTCAAAGTCAAGCTTAACAACAAGTGTGGCGCTACTTCTCACCAGCCGCGGATATCTTCTCGCCCGTTTCCTCCACGAACTCTCCACTGTCGCCCATAACTGTCCCCTTTGTTCCTGCCAGTCTTCGTTGGAAGTCGCATCCATACTTGTACCTTTTTGCGAGAGCATGACCGCGTCATTGTCTTTCATTGTCCTATAACTCGTCTCTGGTCCTTTGGCGCTGATCTCACCACACTACATCGATAGCCATGCTTAGCCAATGGCTGTTGTCAGCAAGTCTGCTGGCGAGCGGAGCAGCCGCTTTACTGATACAACCAACGAACATCACCCAGAACAGTAGCGATGCCGTCGAACTCAACTTGGATACAACGGATTTCGGCGCGCTGCAACCTCTGACCCAGGGTGCGAGTGTCGGCTTGAATGTAATTCTTCTCTTTAGATCAGCTTCGTGTTCAAGAGTGATGCTGACACTCGACACAGATNNGGGTATCCATGATACCATTTACCATGTGACGACACAAAACCGGGATAGCCTTACTGGTCAGGAGATTGCCTATATATCGTGCGATGCTGAAGACTATACTGGTTTTCTTTCGTTAAATGATGTCTACCGAACAGCGCTCAGCGTCAACGCCTCAGCTATCATCCTTTACAGTCTAGTATCTGAGCAGTGCAACATCACCAATCCGGAAACGGCATACCAGAGAGTATTCTCCATGTCTAACAACACCAGATCTCAGGACGTACTGAACGTTATCAATAACAACCCGAGCATTATGGCAGCCATTCAGTACGCTTCAACTTCAAATCACAATAACGGGCCTAATCAGCAGAACCCAACATCCACTTACGGATCATCTCCTACGACTGCAGTTGCTATGATCATTCTATACAGCGTAACTGGTATTATCACGGCCTTGTTCCTCATCATTATCATTACTGGAGCAGTTCGAGCACATCGTCATCCAGAGCGTTACGGACCAAGAAACGTTATGGGAAGACCTCGACAGACCAGAGCTAGAGGTATCGCTCGCGCTATGCTGGATACAATTCCCGTTGTCAAGTTTGGCGAGCAACCCAAGCCGGATCCAAAGGTCACAGATGTCGAGTTGGCGGATACCGATACACCTGTGATTCGTCGCTCAGTCGAAATCGATGGCACCCAAGAGACAGAGACCCGCGACCAGGCCGCGCCAAGACGATCAATGGCATCTGTTCGTTCAGGTATCGGTGCCGCAACAGGACATCCTGACTCCGATGCTATTGGNGGAGTGGCAGCCGCTGAATCGAGTGAGGCCCTAGGTTGTTCGATCTGTACCGATGATTTCGAGACTGGACAGGACCTACGCGTACTGCCTTGCGATCACAAGTTCCATCCAGCATGTATTGACCCTTGGTTGTTGAACGTATCATCAACTTGCCCGCTATGCCGTATTGATTTACGCCCTGAAGGGTCCACTGAAACAGACGCTGCAGCCACTGAGGCAGGCGAGAATGGCGACTTGCCTCCTCCCATCAACGGCTACAATGGGCAACCTTACCGCGTTAGCATGCGTCGCAGCTTGCTTATCGGACTTGGACTTGACCGTGGACATCTCGATCAAGGACAAAGAATGGCCGCTGCACGTGAGCTACGTGAACTCAATCACAACAACGTCGACGGTGTTGAGGTCGCACAACAGGACCAAGGCGAGGAAGGTCGTCAGCGTCGTAGATTACGAGAACGCTTTGGTGTGCGTACAAGAAGAAGAGGACAGTCTGATGCGCGGGCACAGACAGTTGCTGCTGTCCCTGAGGAGACAGCTACGACTGCTCCAACGGCAGCTCCGGAAGCTGACGGTGCACAACGTCCTACCACGACTTAAACATGTATCGTTGGAGGGTTAAACTACATGTCACGAAAGGTTTTTTTTTTTTTTGGAGGAGTTTCTGGTATATGGGTCTGCATCGCACAGAGCAAGTGGTTATCGAGATGACGACTGGATGTTGCATTTGCGTCATCAGGACATGGGAGGCATGGGCAAGGCATGGCATTATGTATTAGTACGATTGAATGAGCGAAAGTTATGTTACCTGTTTTCGTTCATGTGGTTCTCACGTCTGCAATGCTCTGTGAAGATGCAGTGGCCCGTGCACATCAGATGGTCGTCCAGTGACGAAGGCGCTTCCAACAATTTGGGCGCGCGACGACGAAACCATCACATTTTCCCACGTTCTCGTTCTATCCACACAACCAACAATATCACACACAATGGCTCCCAAGCGTGCAAACCAACAAGGCGCCATCAGCCAAATGTACACTAGCCTCGCCTCGCCCGACAACCGCTCCGTCGTCACCGCCGTCGCCTTCTTCGCCGTAAGTGCTGTCTGCATTACGCCTCCTTCTCGAGAAGCATCTTGGTCATTGCAAGAGGAGGAATACAGACTGCAGAAGAAACAGAAACGTCCGAGCTATGCTTTTGAAGGAGGGGTGCAATGCTTGAGATAAGAACAACAGGACTGATTGAGAACCACANNGGCCGGTGTCGCATTCTTGCACAGCAGCTGGAGCGAGATGCTGCTTCCTCCGTAAGTGTCTCTATACATACTCATCCCCGCTCAGACTCCGGACGTCAACATCCACCATACCATACGCTTTCCCTCGGATGTCCTGAAGCTTACACCACACCTTACTACAGTCTTTAAACACCTTCTGCGTTCGACCCAAATGGATACGACGCGATTGTAGGAATACGCCTGGAAGAAGGAGAGGGCCACACACTTGTACAAACACAAATCCTCGCGCTTTCTTTTTCATGAATAGGGAATGGGCGTTTTGCTTCTACAAAAGAGGAATGAAATATTGAATCTGCCGTATCGACTACTCTCCTCGTCTACCTCTTTGACTATTCGATAGATTTCGGAAGCCTCAGAACCTAGTCAAGTGTAGGTATAGTGGTTTGCATCGCCTCCCAGTGACGTGTTTGACTAGAACGTTGCTGTTCTCGGGTCTCTGGCTGTCGGGTCGTGGTTTCCTCGCTTGTTCTAAAGCACAAGCAACGTTGCTGCTTCTTGTCGCTTGGAGTGCTGACACAAGAACATGTGAAATTGGCTCCTTCCTGTTTTCTGTTCTGACTGACTTTAAATTCGACAACACCACGAAGTTGCGACCTCGCTCGTTCCAATTCAGTACTACTGCAGCAAGAGCCACAAGCACCTGCTTGACCACAATGCATGCCATCGTCCTTTCCAGTTTTTTGATGCTCAACTCGACTTTGGCGCAGCAAGAGCCAGGGCCATTCTTGATTCAAGTGCAATTTTCGGATATGTATCGCTCTTTCCCTCAACAATCGGCTTACAACTCATGGTTCACAAATCTTCGAATCGATCTCTCTTTGCTATACAGCTTTCCAACCATCCAACATCATCGTGAGCCACAGCGCATCTATCAGCGACGGTGCAGCCACGCGACACGCTTAACTCTGCTTTTCTCAAGGGGATTGTGAGACTCGAATCTACCGCTCTAGCATCCCTCTGCAAACGCTTTCATGCCGATGCAAGTCTGCTTTTGCGCTGTCGAATCGGGGTGCGTGGAGAAGCGAGTTGCCCGATCAAAATATGATGACTTCGTTCTGATGATGTTGATGGATGAGGGGTTTCAGCGTTGAACTTGTCGAGATGAGTGCATACTATGAAACATTCTTGCGAACTGACCTGGAATCTGACTTCTAGTTAACGGACGCTTGAGATGGTATTCGAAAGCTGCACTATGCTCTGGCCTCTACGACGATGTCTAAACAGAGCCCATGCTCCCTGGCGAGGACGTCCATCAAATATCGCTCTTCGCCAGCCCTCTCGCTGATTCTCCCTTGCCCGACCTGATCCTCCTACTCGCCGATGTCCCCTAGGTCCTCCATGTGATCGGTCAGGTCACAAGTCTCGACCACCTTTGTTGTGCTGCAATGGTCGTCAGACTTCTCGCGTGTATCTATACTGCGATCACGCTCAGCGATTTCTCTCATTACCTCACTCGTTACAGCGCAGAAGACCTTCGCGCTCTCCTGGTACCTGGTGGTGTTTTTTTGAGACAACATATACCGTCCGTACCACTACTGTGATGGCGAATGCTTTCAAGCACCATTCACTCAATGGGACCACTGGATATCTGCTGACGCGCCAATCCGATATTGTGTTCACTAGACTACTTGCTTGCACATTGCTCGAGGTGTGGCTCTGGCTAGGGGTACACCGAACATGCATGATCCTTCGACTGGTCACTCAGCGGACCAATGGTCATGACTCCCCATGGTCCTGATCACACCTGGGGATGCTATACGATTGGTCGTTGCGAGTAACATATCAGGTTGAAATCAGCTCGGCTTTCGTTCGACAACCCTCCAAAGCTGTCTTGATATACTAAAGAAATCTATGAGCCAGCGGATCAAGCCTTGCAACGGGCAACACTAACTATCTGATGTTCGACCTTTTCCTTGAACCTTTTCCGAAGAACGCCTACTAATGCAATATAATCGAATCATCTTGTGGTTCAGGTCAGGAGGCAGGAAGCCATAATTTTAAGATGTTAGTTGGTTTGCGACTACCTCCACTCTAACAGGAGGCAGAGGATTCACATCAAGTTTGACCATTCAAACAAATGGTCTGACTGAATCTGGCAGAGCACAAGGGACCATGAGATTCTGCTTGTCCCAAACTTGATATTAGGATTTGCTACGAATAATCGTTCCATGGACAACATAACACAGGAAACAGTAGGTCAAAAGACGCTGTTCATTCTTTTGTATCTGTCCTATCAATAAATACTTGACAAAAAGTCTGTCATGGCTCATTGCTCCCACACACGCAATCATCGATATGACCCCGCCAGGGTCATCACACCAGCATGTCAAGCACGAACCACGCCCGAAGCTCGGCCGCCACCTTTCATACTACAAACTCTACGCATCATCATTGTGCTCGTCCAAAATGTCATCGACTTTTAGCAGACTTTTGAGACCTTTGCAGATCAACGAGATTAAGTGACGGGAACGATGTCAATGACAGGTGGCAATACTGGTAGCCCGAAAGTGTTACGCTGCAACGCCGAAGCAAGGGCGAGAGAGTAGCAATAGGAGAATAATAGGCGATATTTGTCTTTCGGATGGGTAAGTGGCAAATATTCGAAGAGTCAGGTTAGCATTGTTCCGAGATGACTTCTTCGGATGCTGTGTGGTGGTAGGAGATCATATATTCTTTTCTATGTTTAAGCAAAGATGTCATCTGGTAGCTGCCTGTTCTGGACCAGAAGCAAAGGCTATCTACGAGATCAAATGAAACAGTCTGATCTAGGCTTGGATAGCTTTCTAATGTTGCGCAGCGAAGCTCAAAAGGAGTGGAATGCCACTAGAGACCTACCATGAAGGAACAAGGAATAGTGAATATCAAGTTCTAGGATCATCTTCCTAGCAGACTTTAACTGCCAGCGAAATGCAAACCACAGAGAGCAATACCCAGATCCGTTGCAGAGTAGATTCGAAATTGACAGACCACCATCCATCTTGGATCCTGCGTAACCGCGCCAGTCATAGGTGACTTACCAGTTCATGCGTCGAAGGAGAAATCGTCTTTGGACTCGACCTATGACAGAATCTCGCGGCAAGCAACTCATAGAACGAAGCAGTCATATCTGCGAACCAGTCATCTCTCAGCCTTGTCCAACCATCGATCGGGCTGCTAGAACGATTAAGATCTGAACTGCTGAATAGTTGACCGCTTTAGTTGAATCCAGTTTCGAAGTTTCCTGAACGCTGCTTCCGTAGGCTCGATATACTGACAATATAATTGTCGAAGCCGAAATCGCTATACCACGATAGAGTATTCGACCGGCTTGAAGTGCATATAGCAGGATCGTGTGAGTTTTGAACTGAGTGGACCAAAGTTGGCAGGCAGACGTATCTTCAATGTGCAGTCGTGATGACGTTCTTCAGGAGTCCACTCAGATGCATCGAAGTCACAGATATTAAGTTCGACACAAGACTCGGAGGCAGCACCGATTGCTTCAGCACACGTCTTCTTCCAAGATCGGTGAGTGAATGGGCTGGCCACGGATGTGATTCTGCCGACCGTTGTCGCTTAACGCCTGGGATGTTGCCCAGCAAGATTCCGTAGGAGCAGCAGAGTTCTACAATCCATATTGTGACAGTTCAGAGCTTACGAGCTTGAAGCATATCGCTGATGGCTGGACCTCTCGTTCCGTGCACAGAACCCGAGGGACGGGTCCTTCTAGAAGAGAGAGAGAGAGAAGGTGAGTGGTCCCGGTCCGGCGCATGCTGAACACTTGGTCAAGGTTGAATTGCCAAGATACAAGGTCTTAGATTCGTGGTTCGCGTCAGCATACTTTTCGTACTGATCACGCCTAATAGGGGCGGATGGATCGTTCGACTGTTGTATGGTCATGTCGAGTATAACACGAATCCCAACGTTCCATCTTGTGTATGTATAGATCCAGACCGGGTTGTGTCTCACAGCCCCCTATTGTTGCTATGCTTCACGCCGAAAGCATACCGGCCCGTCAGCACCGGGGGAGAGAACGTATGTCGACAATCATACATCCACACGAGGATGCCTAGTTTGTAGTGTGCTAGTGTCGGAGTATCAGAAAAGAGCGAGGATTGCACTGTCAACGGTAAAACTTGAGCGGCGAGCTAGCGCCAGATGCCCTGATTGATACATGTGTCCTTCTAGGACACATGCATCTGCCTGCGTGGTTCGCAAGATCGTATGCGTGATGATAATCGTGGTGATCGTAGTGATCGCAGAGATTTGAGGCAATATTGCCAAGCACCATGCTTATGCCAAACGTCTACCAGGATTGATGTGAGACACTCAGCAGTACTTCGATAGAAGAAGCCAAGGCTTCTGGCCCTATCTGCTGTATCGCAAGGAGCAGAGGCCGAGCGCCTCTACAGATCCAAGCCCTTGAGTACTCCTCGAAGAACGACATGGTGAACGTTTTGCGCCATCAACTAGTCTTCCTTGCATTGAGAACACGGAATCTCTACGGTCTGGAGCTTGGCTGCACGTAGTACCGATGAAGTTCAATCTTGGTAAAACGGCGGCACATTATCGTGATAACGGTGACTGGCAACGTTGGTGAACGCCATCTTGGCTCAAGTGCGAAGAGTTGGGTAGGTGCAACAATCGATATGTGACAAAACAATCGGAACTGGTTAGCTGCTGAGGAAAAAGCGCTGTAGCAATTGGACGCAGCTCTGCAGATGCCAGCGAGATTTTGTAAAGCTGCGGGTTGAGAGCCAGACGGTATACACTCTGGGCGTTGGGCGATAGTGACAACAGAGTGTTTATTCCAGGCAGTCGTCTTCGTCGTCGCATCGTCTTTTGCAAGCAGTCCATACTATTTTTGAGATGCAAGTTCCCAGAAGGTATAACTGCAATCTTCTTGCATAACCGTTTCAACAGCTAACGTCAGTTGCGCCAGGCGCCGTCAACGTA